CTAAGCCACTGACACAAGCATTCCATGGTCAAACCATGGAACCTGCAATTCTCTCCATGGTTGGAGTTCTGAGTCTAGCGGTTCAGTTGGAAGAATCCCCAAGGAAGCTTCATCTGAAGTGATCCCAGACCTGATTCTTGTGTGTGCGTGCCAATACAAGATCCAGCACAGTCTATTGCCCAAATTGACCTTCATGCACACTGTTAGTTGCAATTGCTGGGTCAGTTGTCTCCAGTCCTGTCTTCTATACAAACTAGTGAATGTTGCAGGCAAGCCCAATCCTGCCCATTGCATACTCAGTCCCCACGCAAACCAGTGGGAGCTGCAGCCTAGTCAGAGCAACCTGCAGTAACACCCACCTGGAGCGCCTCCTACCTTGGTTTCCGTGCTTGCCAGTATGTACAATAGACTGGTTCTGTCTGTCCCACATCCCATTCAGCTATTATACATGTCAGTAGGATTGAAGCCTAGTTCAACTCAACCAGCCCCACTATTCAGCCCACACATGTGCTAGCAGTGTCAATCTCTGTCTGGCTGGGCCTGTCAAAGTCCTGTTTTTTTTTTTTTTTAAAGATTTATTTTTTTATTATGTTTTTATTGGAAAGGCAGATATACAGAGAGGAGAGACAGAAAGGAAGATCTTCCCTCCAATGATTCACTCCCCAAGTGAGCGCAACGGGTCGATACTATGCCGATCCGAAGCCAGGAGCCTCTTCCGGGTCTCCCACACGGGTGCAGGGTCCCAAAGCTTTGGGCCGTCCTCCACTGCTTTCCCAGGCCACGGGCAGGGAGCTGGAAGGGAAGCGGGGCTGCTGGGATAGAACCGGCGCCCATATGGGACCCCGGGCATGCAAGGCGAGGACTTAACCACTTGCGCCACCACGCCGGGCCCCAAAGTCCTGGTTTTTATGCTCACCAGTCAGAGTTGTAACCCAAGAGGGAGGTGTCCATTGTTTCCCTACTGAGCTCACTCCCACTTCCAGATCTTGCACTCTCCAGGTGCTACTGCAGTTTAGCTCGACAGAGTTTTCCCTGTGCCAGTATCTGCCAGCTGATGTTGTGGCAAAACCCAACCAACCCTCACCCTCTCTGACTAATGCATGTGTCAGTAGGTACAGTCCGCCTGGCCTGGCTTGTCCCCGATCCAGCTTACATGCAAGCCAACAGGGGTTGTAGCCCTGCCCAGCCTGGTCTGCCCCATCCCAGCTCTCAGGCTTACCAGTGGGAATAGTGGCCCAGCAGGGGAGCTCCCTGCAGCCCCCCCTAACAGGTTCATCCACTCTCCTCCAGGTCTCATGTGTGCTGTTTGGGCCCGCCTCACCTTGGCATTTTCCAGTGAGTGCTATGGCCTGGCCCAGCCCAGTCCACCCCCAGTTCCAGCTTATACTAGTGGGGACTACAGCCTAGCCAGCCTAGCCAGCCTAGCCAGCCTCACGACACCTCCGACCCTGCCCTCGTGTGAACTCACTGGTATTATGGCCTGACCTGGAATGATCCACACACCATTCTGGCTCTTGGATTTGCCACTTGGTGGTATGAATTGGCCCAGCCTGGCTTGCCCTAGACCTGAGCCAAAGGTAAGCCTATGGGTACCATTCCCTGGCCTGGCCTAGGTTTGGCTGCTTACTTTCTTAGCTCTTTTGCCTACCTCCAAGGACTGTGTCCCGACAGAGGAACCTCCCAAGCTCCTGCATCAGATCCTCTCCCAATGCCAGATGTCGCACACACCAGTGGGTCCATGGGCCAGCCCTACTTAGTCCTCTTGCTGTCCTAGCAGGAACAGTGGCCTTTCCTGACCAACCCTCACCCATTCCGGTTCTTACTGTTTGATACTACAGCCCAGCCAACCCTGGTCCATACCCAGACACAGCCCACCATGGCTCAGCTGGGGCAGAAACCTAGCCAAGCCCATCCTACCCATCCTGGTTCTCACAAGCTCCAATGGGTGCTAGAGCTAGCCCAGTATTGCATGCCCCAGACCTAGTCCATACTTGTGCCAAGGAACGCTGCAGCCATGTCCAGACCAGACTACAGCCCCACTGTGGCAGCCATGCTCACCAGTGGGACCCACAAACCAGCCAGGGCATCCCCTTGGCCTGTCCCCTAGACAGGCCTGATCCCAGCCGCGGATCTCACACATGCCAATGGTCACTCTGCTCCAACTTGGCATAGCCCCTCCCCTGTCTTGGCCTTTGCCTTCTGATGCTGCAGCTTGGCCTGGCCCAGCTGGTTGTCTCCCAACTCTTGCTGGCAGGTGCTACAACCTGGCCCTGCTCAGACTGCTTTCATCCCTGGCTCATGCAAACCAGTAGGTGTAGCAGCCTAGCCCTCCATGACCTGCACTTTATCCTGGTTCCTGCACGTGCCATTGGGCTATGGTTTACTCTGCCCTGCCCAGTTGGCCTCCTTCCTAAACCAACTGATACACTTTTCAATGGATGGAACTACCCTACGTAGCCTGCCCAACACCCAGGCCTGGACCATGTGCTCATCAGCAGGAGCTATTGCCCCACTAGGGGAGTTGCCCTGATTCCCCTGCTCAGGCCACTCCCAGACCCAGATCTCACATATGCCTGTGGGTGCTTGGCCTTTGTATGAGCTGGTATGGTCCAACCCATCCTATACTCTGTTTTAGAGTGTTCATGTGGGTGCTGCATCCTGGACCTGCCCTGCTTGTTCCCAGTCCCAGTACCGGTGAGCATTGGTGAGTTCTGTGGTCACACGTAGCTCAGCCCATCACCATCCCAACTCTTAAGCTAACCAGCGAGGCTTATAGTTTCATAGGGTTGTGCCCACATATCCCCCACAGAATCTAATCCTGTATCTGGTTATCTTGTGTGCTGGTTGGTGTCGTGGCCCAGTCTAATGTGACCCATCCTCTGATCTAACACTTACTGTCAGGTAATGGGATATAGCCGTGCTACACAGACCCCCAGCCATAGCTTGTGTGTGCACTGGCATGTGGTAGTCAGCCATGTTCCATGCTAACAAGCACCAACCCAGGACTTTTATATGGGCTGGTTCTTCAGTTTTACCCATAAAGATCTTCAGGTCTCTCCCCTCTACCACCAGGTCTCATTCCCCTCGCTTAGCTGCAAGTACAGTGGCCCTGTCATTGGGTGTACCTCAGGATTCATTTCTCACCTACATGTACAGTGGCCTTATCCTAGACAGTAATTTTATACCCTCAAGACTCCAGAGCTCGCTGCCAAATGGCCAGAAGGCAGAACCTGATGCCAGTGGGCACTCTTACTGCCCACAGGCCCAGGACTCTCCCCTGACCCCAGCCTAGCCGCGGTAAATGGGGAGCTAGGATCCCTAGCAGGAAGCCTGGGCCAGCATGGGTATCCCCAGCTGCAGCGACATGGCAGGGGGATCCAGACAGCCATGCTGCTACTCAGAATTACCTGGGCTCCATCCCCCTGAATTGGTTTCTGAACTTAAGGGTTACTTCTCCTGTTAGATTTCCATAGAGGGGTCATCTAATTTTTTTCCCCAGTAGCATCACAGTATTATTTTAGCTAACATGCCATTTGTTACCTCTGCTTAGGTGACAGATAAGAAATTGCAAAGAAAATTGCATTATACTGTCTTATTTCCCCACTTAGCATGCGGGGACCAGTGATTCTTTTGGCAGGATATCGGTGGTGTGTTTGCTTGAGATCTGAATAGAGCAAGAGGCAAGTATGAGGCTGCAGAGAAGGGTTTATCATTCTCAGCTCAGCTCTTCTATGTCTTGCAAAGAGCTGGTCAGCAAAAGGGGCTTATTGGACTGCAGCTGGTAACAGGCCAAATGTGAATGCTGTCCTATACGAGAATTACGGTGTGTACACGATAAGGAGAGAGTGCCTGCATCCAAGATCCCCAGGATGAGTGCAGAATTATAGTACATCTGTCTTGTTGATTAAAGGCAAACACAGCCTCATGAGATCTTGGCTGTGCAGAATATCTGTTACAGGTGTCTTGGTTTTGGACTTCTCATTTAAAAGAAATAGCTTTCCAAATCACTACAAATTTTTCCCTTCCTTTTAGTTTTACTTTTTTGTCAGTTTGTAACATTTATAGGTTTATTGGGGTGCTCTGTACTACTTCAGCAAATATAAACTGATCAAATTAAGCAGTTAGCACTCCCGCTTGCTTGTGTTTCTTATGTTGAAATCTCCATGCTCCTCTCTCCTGGTCCTTTGTATACTCGATAATGCATTATCAGGAATTATCATTATCTCAGTGTGCCATGGGACACCGGAAACTGCCTCTTCTATCTAACTTTGTAAGTTCAGATTGACTTTTTTAAAAGAACATTTAGAGTCGAGAATTATTTTAGCTAAAAATATTTTTGCAGCTATGCTTTCATTTACAGTTTTTGCTTAGGTGCGTACTATTTAATATAGATGAGTTAACATGAAGACATGCCAAGTCATGTAGCCTTGTTCAAAATTAAATATTTGAAGGAAGATAGCTTATTTCCAAAATCAAGCTTTTGTTAATTTCATGTCACTAAAGTATAGTTGTACTAAACTACCAAATCCAGTATGTGCAGGCATGGTACTAGGAAGGGTGAGGGCTGCTGCTGAGTCTTTTGAGTAAAATATTCCACTCAACCCAAAGGAGGTATGGAACAAGAAGACTCCTTCCCTCCTGGGCATCCAGGAGGCTTAAGATAAAAGGAAATCTCCTCGTGTGAGTTGCCCCTCATTCTTCATGTGGACACTTATGAAATGATACGTTCCCATGAAAGATAGCTTCTACATAATTCAGTATCATCCTGGATCTCTCCCATCAAAGAGCAAGAAAAGCCATATGAATTATTTACAGTGTGCTAAATTATTTCTTTTTATGATCTCCAACTTTGTTTTTGTCTCTGCAAACTGAGATTTTGTTTATCCATGAATAGTTTTCCCTAGGGCTTGAAAAATATGACTCTTAAATTATGAATGAGGTTTTTTGTTTGAGTCTCTGTTAACTAACTGAAACATGCAAAATAAACTGTTTTTCATTAGATCCCTTTCAGCTCCCTACAAAAACAGAACCAACAAAAGAAAGAGCAGTTCAACCCGCAGCCACCAGGAAGCCCACTGTAATTCGAATTCCAGCCAAACCAGGAAAATGTAAGCACCCTCTCTCTGCCTTCTTTGTTTGTTTCTCCAAGAGCCTGGGATAAGGGTATGCTGATTTATCATTGCCTGCTTTGGAAATTATGTGCAATCTGCCATTTATTATTATTCATAGTAAAGGGCATTTTAAAAGCAAGTTTGTTTTCCCATGATTCTCTGGGGAATTTGTACAATAAATTTAGATTTCCTTTTCGTTTAATACTGACTTTAGGCAGAGAATGGTGAGAGACTAGAAAATGCAGAATGTGAGAGATATCCTTGTTAATGCCTCTAGTAAAGATGTGGTGGAAAGGCAATTGAAACTAATAGAAAATAAATTGTATATGTTTGTCAGGAACACATTATTCCAATCGGTATAATCTAAATGTAGTTCTGGGTGAATTGTATGAAGTACAGTAACCAACCAGATGAAAACCACATAACTATAAAAATACTTTCTAAATTTGTAGTAATACTTCATTTTTATATACTTTACTTGATTTTTTAAATGACACAGTAAGTGAAATTCAGTTGGAGCCTTAATAAGTGCTTCAAAAAGAAACCTGATATTGTAAAGGAAAAGCCAACAGGTTAGAGCTGTTTATTTTAAATATTCAGAGATTTTTGAAACTGTAAGTAAAGTGAGAACATGGGCGTGGGGTGCTTCCGGCATTGCTCAGAGTGATCACACAGCTTTCTCAGCTGGTCTCGGTCTTCGTTTATATCTACATTACCTTTGCATAGCTCAGTTGGACACATGCTTTGCCGCAAGGATCCTGTCTACTCATTCATCCCAACAGCAGAGCAAGTGTCTCAGAGAGTCCAAATATTGTGTTGCAGGCATAGCCTTTTAACTTAGGGGTTTGGTTTTTTAAAAAGTCACTGCCCAAAGAGATCATATTGGTGTTAGTCTCTTTTTGGCAGTTTTGTTGTTCAGGGATGGCTCTTAGCCACACGGCAAGAAAACTGAGCTGAATTGCTTTGAAAATGAGAAGGAAAAAGTTAAGGGTATCAAATTTCAATTGATTCTTGTTTCTGAAGGAGGATATAATGTAGTGTTAAAGAACAGCTGGCATGATCCTTTCGGCAGTGTTGTATGTAGCCTGTTAATAATATGATATCGTATTGCGATGTTTACCTGTTTACTCACTTGAAGTCTGAAGGAACTTCACACATATTTCACACAGATTTCGAACAATCTTTTACTGGTGGATTCACTTTCCTAGTATGAATTGGTAAAGGTTTTCAACCAGGAAAGCTTACTAGAAACTCAACCCGTAATTTTCACTGGGGGCTGCTTACATGGATACCCCAAGATATTTTGACATGTGCTAAGACTACACGCCTGGAAGAAAAGCAACTGTTAAGCACAAACAGTATTGTCTCCCTTCTAGGAATCTGGGTCTGTTGAAGTCCAAGTTCCCATATGCCACCCAAGGACATACCTTTCTAAAATCTGTTGTATTTACTCTCTGTCTCTCTCTCTCTTCACCTTTAAACTGGACTAATAGATCTGAAAAGGATATACTGAGAAAGCCTTTTGAATTATTACCCTGACAAAGCTCCAACAATTAGTAGGAAATAGAATTCTGCTGCTAAATCCAGGAAATAGGCATGCCTGAGTGGTTCCTTGTTACTTCTGTTGATAACCAGTTCTCTAGAAATACCTTATTATAAAGTTTTACATGCAGTAGAGGAAAATTAACAAAATTTATCAGTGTCTGAGCAACCCAGAATGGGCCAGTGCGGAAAAGACCGACTTTGTGGCATGTAAGTCCTTGATCTTTGAATTGGCAGCTCCTTCCCTCTGGGAATTAGTTCTTGTGACCAGGATGTCCTTTCCCAGACCGCTGCATGGCTCCCTCCCTTACCATGCCTTTATGTCTTTGCTGAAATGCCACTTTTTCTCAGAGAGACCTTCCCTGACCATATGATTTAAGGTGGAAAACTACCTCCACGATCCATGTATACCATGTATACTGGTCGTTCTGCGTGTGCCTTCCTGCCAGCAGCCTATCCACACTGCTTACATATTACTCCTTTTACTCTGAAATATGTGCCAAGACAGTACCACATCCTCGTAAGAAAAAGGAAACTTCAGCACAAATGTCAAAACAGGGCCTGAGCTGGCCCTTCCTGTGTGCATCCCCTAGCAGCCCCACCTGTCTGAGCAAGCTGGCCTTGCTCTCAGTCATTGTTTACCTAGTAGCCTCCCTGGGCATTTTTCTTCCTCTGAGAGTAGTTTCCTCATTGTGGATAACACAGATACCTGACAAATCATCCTCCTGTTACAGATTTTTCATGTGAAATGGAACTAGGAAGTGTTAATTTAAAAAAAAATAATACTTCTCATTTCCTTTTATTGCCTAGGCCAGACAATGTAAAAGGCAACTTTGGGCTGCCTTGGTAACACCATAATCATCCTCCTCCAAGTAGTTTTGCGCACATATTTTTATTAGCTGTTATTAATAAAATTTGGTCATCTTCCTTTGTGGAATGCAGAATAAGGTATTATTTTTTAATTGAGTATGATTAAGTTGATGAATCTGGATCTAATGAATTAGGAGACACATCTAATCATTTTTGAAGGGTGGAGGGTTGGATTAAGAAGCAGTGTGCTGGAGTGAGTGTTGTGATCTAGTGGGTAACACCACTGCCAGCATCCCGTTTAGGCACTAGCCTATGTCCCAACCACTGCACTTCAGGTCAGCTCCATGCTAAAGGCCTGGGAAAAGTAACAGAGGATGGCCCAAGTATATGGACATCTGCACGCACAAACAAGACCCCGTTGAAGCTTCTGGCTCCTCTCTTTAGGCTGGCCCAGAGCTGGCTGTTGTGGCTGTCAAGGATATTTACCTGCCTCTTGCACTCCCACTGTCCTGTGTAATTCTTTCAAAGTAAATTAATCTTTATAAACAACAACAACAAAGGCAGTGTGTCTTACTAGAAGTGACTTCTGAGGCCCAGCTTGATGGCTTAACTGGCTCATCCTCCCCTTGTAAGTATTGGGATCCCATATGGGCACCAGTTCATGTCCTGACTGTTCCACTTCCCTGTTTGTGGCTGGAAAAGCAGCAGAAGATGACTCAAAAAGCCTTGACCATTGTGGTCAGTTGGGGAATGAGCCAGTGGACAGAAGATCTCTCTCTCTCTCTCTCTTCTCTCTCTCTCCTCTCTGTAAATTTGCCTTTCCAATAAAAATTAAATAAAATTATGAAAAAAAAAAGGAACTTGTGGGTCAAAACCCTGAATCTGACATTAATGGCAGTAGGAACTTGGGTGAGTAGCTTATGTCTAAGTTTCAAGTTTTTATCTGTTATTGTCTAGTGTAGAACATTTTCTTCCCCCCCCCCCACTTCTTATTATAGCAAATTCTGCAAAAATGGAAATATTTAATGTCTGCTCTCTAATGGCCACCAGCTGACTATTGAGTATTTGACAAGGAACAGGTGTGACTGAAAAACTAAGAGTCTGAAGTTATTTTTTCTTTTGTTTAGCATTTTTTGATGAAATTTTAAAGTTTTTTTAAATTTTTATTAGAATAGCAGTTCAGATTTACAGAAAGAAGGAGAGACAGAGAAAAAAGCACTTTGATCTACCTGGTCACTCCCCAAATGGCCCCGAGAGCTGAAGCTGAGCGAATCCAAAGCTAGGAGCCAAGAGCTGCTCCCAGCTGTCCCATGTGGGTGCAGGGCCCCAAGGCTTTTCCAGACCATAAGCGGTGAGCGGGGTGGGAAGTGAAGCAGAACCGGGACACGAACTGGCTTCCATATGGGATCCCAACACTTGCAAAATGAGGACTTAGCTGTTGAGCCATCGTGCCAGGCCCAAGTTATTTCATCTATTTCATTGATATTTAAGTTTAATTCTCCATGTGTGACACCTAGCCATGGGTCCAAACAAATACAGTACCTAGATGTTGTTGGAGAACAAGGTATAATGAAGTGCCTAGGAAATAAGTATTTATTTAACTTTTTTTTTTAAGATTTATTTATTTGTTGAAAGGCAGAATTACAGAGAGAGGAAGAGAGATCTTCTGTCTGCTGGTTTACACCCCGACAGCCAAGACTGGCCCAGGCTGAAGCCACAAGCAAGGAGCTTTATCCTGGTCTCCCATGTGGGTACAGCAGTCCGAGCACTCTAGCCACCTTCCACTGTTTTCCCAGGGGTGTTAATAGAGAGCTGAATTGAAAGTAGAGTAGCCAGGACTCAAACCAGCACCCACAGGGGATGCCAACTTCACAGGAGGAAGTTTTTAACCTGCAATGCTGCCTAATATTTTTTAGATTGTAATTTAATGCCTGGCACACAGAAGGTTCTGTTGGTCACTATTATTTGGTATTATTCTCACTCTCTGTAAAATAGGCATAAACTTAACTATGTTGACTTACTCCTCAATCTTCCAGTTTGCTAGGAGCTCTTTCTCACTTGCTTGATTAGCAACCAAACTACAATCATTTCATTCTTTGGAATCCAAAAAAAAACTAGCATGAATGAAATACTGCTTTTCTTTCTTCCAGGTTTACATGAAGATATACAAAGCCCACCTCCTCTCCCTGCCGAAAAGCCTATTGGAAACACTTACAGTACAGTTTGTGGAAAATCTAGTAATGTTGACAAAGCTAGAAACTTGGTAAGTAATCACTACAGAGTGTGCTAGGTGGAAGCTATACACTAATTTAAAGTATTCAACTGACATCTAAATTATTGTATTACCAGTCAGATAGAATAAAGAAAACCTTTATTATAAACTGATTCTGAACCCCATCTACTTAATGTATTGTTCAGTATTTTAACAATCTCTAGAAAAAGATTAAGCCCATTAATTTTGGTACTTAATTATGAAATAATTTAAATGACATTAATAATGAGGAAATTACTAAAAATATGTAAAAATCTTTAATATTTGTGAAAGTAGATTTAGTCAAATTGCCAAGTTTTATTTAGCAGTCAGTAGTGACACAATGTTAAGGTACTCCTATAAGGACCCAGCACGATAGACTAGTGATTAAATCCTCATCTTGCATGTGCTGGGATCCCATATGGGTGCTGGTTCGTGTCCCAGCTGCTCCACTTCCCATATAGCTCCCTGCCTGTGGCCTGGGAAAGCAGTCGAGGATGGCCCAAAGCCTTGGGACTCTGCACCCATGTGGGAGACCTGGAGAAGACTCCTGACTCCTGGCTTCGGATCAGCTTTGCTCTGGTGTTATGCCCAGTTGGGGAGTGAATCAGCAGGTGGAGATCTTTCTCTGTTTCTCCTTCTCTCTGTAATTCTGCCTTTCCAATAAAAGCAAATGAATCTTTTTAAGTTAAAATATATATATATACTTGCATAAAAATTTTTAAATCCACTTTAAGAAAAATTTATTTGCTTGAAAGATGTATTTATTTATTTGAAACAGGGAATTATAAAGAGAAAAGAGACAGATCTTTCATCCACTGCTTCATTTTCCAAAATGCTACCAGGACCAGGGCTGGGCCAGGCCAGGAGTCGGACAGTTCATCCAGGTCTGCCGTGCGGGTGCAGAGGGCTAAGTACTGGAGCCATCTTACAGTGCTTTCCCATTAGCAGGCACAGGAGCACAGAGCTCAATAGGAAGAGAAGCAGCCTGCACGTGTGCCCAGGCCTAGATCAGATGCTGGCATTACATGACTGTGAGGCCCTTGTATTTTGAAGGAAAAAAAAAATTTTTTTATCTTGTACTTCTTAAGAGGCTAGTCAAACATTTTTGTATGTGTGTTTTGTATTTCAACATCAACACTATTCTTTTTTAATATTTTCATATGCTAATGACTTTTTAAAATGTTTTTGATTACTTTATTTGATAGTCTGAATTACATAGAGAAAGAGAGAGAGGAAAGGAAAGAGAGAGATCATCTATCCATCCACTGGCTCACCTCACAATGGCCTAATTGGCTAGAGCTGGATCCATCCAAAACCAGGAGCCTGGAGCTGCTTCTGGGTCTGCCATGTGGGTGGTAAAGGCCCAAGCATACGGGCAGAGTCTACTGATTTCCCTGGTACATCAGCAGAGAGCCAGATCCAAAATGGAGCAGCTGAGACTGGACTGTCTTCCGTATCGGAAGCTGGTGCCAGTCAGTGACTTTACCCACCATGCCACAGTGCTGGTTCCTGATAATGACACTTAAGGCTTGTTTCAGGAGAAATCAATTTTTACTTCACACTTTATAATAGTTTTACATGTGTTTATCATACAGACACATTTCGGGAAGAGAAACTTTATTGAAGGAGGCATTACATTAGATTAGGCAATATCAAGTTAATGAGATTTTCTGTAGAATCAATTAAAATTTAGTGATTACTTGCACTTGCAAAGTACTTGCTAATAAATTTTTGTTAAACCTGAGCCAAGATAGCCCAAAAGAGGATAAAAGGGTCCCTGCCATACTATTGTTAACTAAGAAAATGACACTGGTTATGTTCTGCTTATTAACTGATACAATGGGCTTTGCAGACTGTAAAAGCTCTACTGAAATATTTGGTATTACTCCATTTAGTGTTAAACAGCCTTATAAGCAACACTCACATTTTAAAAAATAAGAGAAGTAGAAAAGCTCAACTATCCAGAGAGATCCTGTGTTTATATAATAGCATTTGTACCTCACACTAGCAATGTAGAGACAATTCTGTTCTTGCTGTTTGCAAAAGGAGTTAGGCCCTTCTGTATGAGATTGTGATAAATGCTTGCCATAATAGATACTGCAAGTCGGAAGAAACAGAATAGTAAACAGATCTCAAGCAAATGATTCCTGAAGTCACAGATACAGATTGCTAAGACTGGAAAATCAAATTTATGCTGAAGAAATTCCTTTTCATTGTGGATTTCAAAAACTGGCTGAATTTTAGACCAGAGAACATAATAACTATAGGTGTGAATTGGGATCCCTTAGAAAGAATATTTTACCTGTTTGCTTACCCTGGTGTTTAGGCAGTCTTGGCCAGTTGTATCTCCTGATTGAGCACAGGGCAAAGTTCCCAAATCTCCTGTCAAGGTGCTAGGGAACTTTCCATTCCAGGACAGGGTGAATGCAGATGTCCAAATCCACTTCTTTTAAATGATGAAGACTCCCAGAATGGGCCATTCTGTCAGCAGGAGCATTTACCTGTTTGTTCTCTTGCCCCCTGTGGGAACATAAGACCCTTATAGCATCCCACAGGGAGACTGCCAACTAGTGCAGGCCAAATCAGGAGGTGCCACACAGATGAGGTGTAACAAGTCGAGGCTGTAGCACAGGAACTGGTGAGGATAAACAGTCTGTGTATGTGTAGAAGACAGAGGCTGATTCCAAATTCAAAATAGGAAGAATTGGCCACAGCCCCGTCCATCTGTGTCCAGCTTCTCACTTAGCACAGGCCTGTCTTGACCCTGCACTGCACCTTCCTATGCAGTGCTGCTCCGAATGGTTCGGGGTCACCATGCTAGGATAAACCACGGTGGTGGTAGTAGCTGTGGACTGACACTGCATGTGGTCCAGGTGATGCCACTGGCTACAGTAGGTGGTCATTGTGGTGCAGCTCTGATCTACCTGATCTTGCAAGGGCATGTCAGAGTGTGGGTGAGTGCACAGCCATGGGACTGCGTAGCAGCCACCTGCACAACACGTCTTGGCTGCTGATTAAGGAATATGAACACATGGTGACTACCTGGTAGGAGCCTTCATCACCTGAAACTGTTCAGTGCTTTGGGAATGGACCAGCTGGTGTGACCCAGCAAGTCACCTTCCTCAAACACTGCGTGAGGGCAGAATAATTTGATCTTGACATCCAAGGCTGAGAAGTCACTCAGTGCTTTGCCACTTTCCTGAAAACATTCAGGTTGGTATACTTTTAAATGAAGATAAAGGGAAGGGAATCCAAGAAAATTTGGCTTTCTCTGTTTCTGCATAGAATGACTCGATGGCTTGTCCACACTGCAGCCTACTCACAAGGCTCTCAGATGCCTGGCTGGAGGAGAAAATCAAAATGGAGAAATTCCAGCCAAATACCAAGGTGCAAGGCTGGGATGGACTCCTAATTGTTGGAGCAGAATTAGAAAAGATCATGATAATGGGCCCAGCATGATAGCAAGGTGGCTAAAGTCCTTGCCTTCGATGCACCAGGATCCCATCCTGGTGGCTCCATTTCCCATCCAACTCCCTGCTTGTGGCCTGGGAAAGCAGTCAAGGACGGCCCAAAGCCTTGGGACCCTGCACCCGCGTGGGAGACCTGGAAAGAAGTTCCTGGCTCCTGGCTTCGGATTTGCGCAGCAACAGCCATTGTAGCTGCTTGGGAAGTAAACCATCAGACAGAAAATCTTCCTCTCTGCCTCTCCTTTCTGTATATCTGTCTTTCCAATAAAAATAAACATATCTTTTAAATTTTAATTAATTTTTAAAAAATTTATTTATTTTTATTACAAAGTCAGATATATAGAGAGGAGGAGAGACAGAGAGAAAGATCTTCCATCCGATGATTCATTTCCCAAGTGACCGCAACGGCCTCTGCTGCACTGATCCGAAGCTGGGAACCCAGAACCTCCTCCAGGTCTCCCATGCTGGTGCAGGGTCCCAAAGCCTTGGGCCGTCCTCGACTGCTTTCCCAGGCCACAAGCAGGGAGCTGGATGGAAAGTGGGGCTGCCAGGATAAAACCGGCGCCCATATGGGACCCCGGCGCGTTCAAAGCAAGGACTTTAGCCACTAGGCCATGCCGCCGGACCCCAGTTAATAAATTTTTTTAGTGAAAAAAAAAAAAACACGGCATGATGACCAGTGTGTACCCAATACAAGAATCATGGGAAGGAGGCACTGGGAATTCTAAAGAGCTACCACCTACTGTGATCCCTCTGTGCATCATGTATACAGAGCCGCCCCACTTTGGGGATATATTATTCATTGGAAAAAGATTAAGAAGCCTGAAAGTTGGTACCCATGTATCAGCTGGTGTCGTGACAGAGACATGGCATCCAATTTCAGCATCCAGGAAGCTTTGATTAGGATTTCAACAGCAGCAACAATTTGTTACCCAACATTTGACCATCTTCTCCTTGGAAATGAATATTTTTGATTTCTCAAAGTTCTCTGTGCTGAAGATTACCATAAGAAATGTATCAGGAATGTTTTGGTAATATGAATTTATATAAAATATAGGGAACAGAGGCTTTTAAAATAAATAATGTTGCCTATAACATTACTCAGAATGTTACAATAGCTATCACACTTTTCTGATCCCTTTCATATCAATGAGCACAGAAAGATTGAAGAATCAGCTAAAAAAATCTGTAAAATTTCTCAAATGTGTACATTTTATTGCTTGCTGTTCCGTTTTAGGCCTTTGTTTCCTTGTGTGGCTTGTTAACACACTCACATGTCCGGCTTCATGTAGCTGTCCAGTCCTGTAAACTCACACATTATTGACTCTACACGAGAGTACCATCAGGGTGGAACTTGCTTATGGGACTCATCTCAGACCTTGTCTTTAGAGTTGACCATGCCATTATGAAATCATGTAAGATAAACTTGTTTGTGTTTAGCTGCCAGATATACTACCTAGAATTTCCAAGTAAGATAAAGAAGAAAAGGGAATTTAAAAGACAATGAAATTGTCATAGTAAGAGTGGGAAGAAAAAAACACAAAGATATTTTTAGGTGCAAATAATTTTTGTAACAAAAATAAATTAACTATTTTAATATGACTAAGCAACAAAATTCCCACTAAACTAATACATGAACGAATGAATGAAACCACTTAGAATTTTTGAATGTCATTATTCTGCATTAGTAAATGTAAATCTCAGTCTTTTAAAAAAGAAAAAAATTTTAAAGGGATATAAGACGTGGCATGAGTTGTTGGAGAAGAGAGAAGAAACATGCCGAGGCCGCTCAGAAGCTCCAGTAGTCAGGAGTGGGATGCTGAGAAAACTAAATCTTCAAAATAAGACCCCACACTGGGGAATTCTGTTTTAAAAGGATATAATTCCAATACAAAAATACGGAAAACGGTGACATCTGCTGGGATAGTACAAGAAGGAAAACTAGCTGTGCCAAGAACTAAAACAATTTAAGAACTAAAACTAAAATTGGAAGTAACTCCAAACACAACAAAGGCCAAAGCTCAAGGATGTCACACTTGGAGTATAATTAATAATAAACCACCAAAAAGTGGCAGCAGAAAGTCTTCAAGTCGTGTGGGATGCTAAAAAAAGAGGAACACCGAATCAGTGATCTTGCAGAGACTGTTGGCAAAGTCTGGATGTGAAGCCAGACTGCGTGAGCACTGGCAAGTGCTCCTGCAGGAAACTCCCTCTTGGTGGTCTCTGAAATAGCTCTGACGTGCTCAACTTTCCTAAGGAATTTGACTATATGCTGGGGTTTTTTTTCTTCTCTTTTAAATACTTATGTCCTTTTTTAATTGGAAAGACAGATTTACAGAGAGAAATAGGTAAAGAGAGAAGGTCTTCCATCTGCTGGTTCATTCCCCAAATGACCACAGTGGCCAGAATAGAGCCTATCCAAAGCCAGGAGCCCAAAGCTTCATCCAGGTCACCCACATGCGTGCAGGGTCCCAAGGGTTTTTGGAGTTTTCTTCTACTTTTCCAGGCCACAAACAGGGACTGGATGGAAAGTGCCTGTATGGGATTCTGCCACTTGGAGGTGGAGGATTACCTGGTTGAGCCATCATACTATCCCGTTTTTTTTTCTTCTAATAGAAATGTTTTGTCGTAGAATATCAAGAAGTAAAAAGGTTATTCAATGTTTTCCATAAAAATACTACTACACAGAGAAAACAGCAACTAACATTTTGTCCAAAATTAGAATGACTTTGATGTATTTATTGTATTACTTTGTCCATACCTGTTAATATCATACTTATATATCTATACTTAAAAATTTTCCCCTTAATTATTGTGGTCTTTATGATCTTGAGAAAAGCAGCTTCCGCCTATCTGCTAGTTTATTTGTCTGTTAATTTTTAAGGGATGGTTAAAGAAATGAAGTTTTCAGGCAGTTTAGCAGTATTTGCCAGAAGTGATACAGGCAGCAGCGTATTTGCAAGGCATGGATTACATCATGCAGTATTGCAGGGTTTACGAGCTGGTGACTTGCCTCACTACATTAACTGAATTCATTACCGAAACCAAGTTTTAAGGGCAAGCTCAATTTGTTTTTTTAAATGGGATTTTAAAACACTGAAACATGTTTAAATGATCACAGTCATTGCCAATTAATCATTTGGTATTTAAGGTAAAGTTGTGAATATTCAATATGAATTTAGAATCATGAAAGTAATTTTTAACTTGCTCATAAAATAAAGAAGAAAATAATCTAGTAGCCCCCAAAGCTATAAGATTCCAAGGCTATAATTAAACTCCCTTTACAAAACAAAGCATTGTAATCTTAAAGGCTTGCACATTTGGCTCTATGAGGTCTTAGAGAAATGTTATTCCCTGAGTTTCAGTGTTAGAAACTTGTAAAACAGGAAAAAATGACAAAAAGGGAAATATAAATTAGATAATTTTTAGTAAAGACTTTTCTTCTAAAAACATAAGTTTTGGGCTGGCATGATGGTTCAATTTGCTAGACCTCCACCTGCAAGCACCGGCATCCCTTATGAATGCCAGTTTATGACCTGGCTTATCCAGTTCCCTGCTTGTGGCTTGGGAAAGCAGTGGGGGATGGCTCAAAGTGTAAGTTTTGACTTAGAGATTTGTTAACTTCTAGTTCAACAGATCTGAAAATATTTTCTCTATATTACATCTTTCTAATCCTTGGACTGTACCTCTTCAGAACACCTATTTAGTTCACATGTTGGATTTCTTCCCCTAGAAAAGCCTTCCTCCCAATCTCCACATTTCCAGGTTCTTTTTAGCTCAAAACCTGCTGCCAAATGCCGAAGCCATCCAGTCATGATGAGATCTGTAACCAGCAAAAACAAGTAACCACTTCACTTTGTGTTTAAATTCAGTGCATTTTCTGTATGATTAGAGAGTGAATAGATACCATACTTGTTATGATATTCCACAATTTGGCTGCTTAAATTTCTAAATCTAAGTTCTGTCATCCCTTAAGTGGGTACATACCCATGCAGCACAGGTGAGCAGGCTGTGGGCCATGGCACAAGAGACTCTTGACTTCTTCGCCTGAGTTTTCACTTACTCTGTCTGGGACATGGATGTTTTTAGTTCACATTGTAATGTTGTCTAAGACAGAAAAAGGTGTTTTTGAAGTTCAGCTACAGTTCCACATATAGAATGAAACAAAAGTTTGTCCTAAACTCGTTTTAGTAACCTCTTGTTTTAGATTAATCTTACCTAAAAATTGATCTTACCTAAAAAGTATTCTCTGATACTTGCAGGAATCTGATCACACTGGTCAAACTGGCGGTTTTGTGCGAGGGCCTCCAAGGTTGCCACCGAGGTAAGTAAGTAAGAAAAAAGTCAGAGACAAACCAGTGCTTGGAGCCTCTGGTCTTGCTCTCACCAGGACCAAGTGTTGTTGCCCTTAGATCTTGTTAGGATTCTTGAATTCACCCAGGCCACTGGCTTGGACAGCACATGTAGTCAGCTCTGCACTTTGCTCCCTATAACAACAATCGAAAAATTCACGGAACACAAACATAGGCCTCCACTATTTTTCTTGAAAACCAATGAACAAGACTCCTTTTGAAACCAGACATTCCACCCGTGGTAAATAGAGCATACACAGACAAACCCTGCCTCTGAAGAGAGACATTCTTGATTTGGGCATTTCTGTGGAGCTAAGGTTCATGTACTCAGAGGTGACTTGTCTCCTAACTTATAGAGTGACCTAACAAAGGCTGGCTTGCCATCAGAAGACATTACCATGTTGACAGTTATTTCTGTTGTAGGGATTAAGGAAAACAGTACTTTCTAAGTAATAATTGTCCTATTGAATTTGCAGAACCAGCTTTCTTCATATTAACCTAAATCAGAGTTTTAGTAGAAATTCTTATATCATGAATGTGAGAGGATTTTGTTTCTTTTCTAATCATGTTCAAAATCCCAGTGCACATACATGATATTTTATTGGTTTTTATATCACACGTTGATAGAAAAAGCTTAGTTTTCTGTACTTTCAGTGGTATTTTAGAGCAATACAGAGCTCCTGATAATAAATGCTTGTTTGCCTTGAACTCATAAATTTCTAATGCAAAATAAGACACAGGAACATCGTGGCATTTGCTCTAATAATACAGTGTTTGAATCAGCAGTTGTTTACTCAAAAATAGCATTCCCTGCAGGTTTCAGTTAAGTGTATTCCATTAGCAGAAAATTGTGTGTGTGTGTGTGTGTGTGTGTGTGTGTGTGTGTGACAGAGAGATAGGACAGAAGAGAACCTAGTACCGATCAAAACACTGACTCCTGGCTGCCACCTTGACTTTCAGACCTGTAAGTGGGAAAGCAATCCCGACTCGTCAGCCTGCTCCGAAGGTGGCCCCTGAGAGACCACCTCCTCCCAAGCTTGCTTCAGCCAGAACATCAAGTAAAAAACTGCCTTTTCATCGCTCTTCCTCTGACATGGACCTGCAGAGAAAACAAAGCAACTTGGCATTAGGACTCTCAAAAGCCAAGAGTCAAGTCTTTAAAAATCAAGATCCGGTGCTGCCCCCTCGCCCCAAACCAGGACACCCTCTCTACAGGAAATACATGGTAAATTTAGCTTTCTAACTTTGTAGTCAAGAGTTTTGTTCTCAAATATATGTAAGATCCATTATTTCTCATAAAAGGTAAAAGAAATGTACAACTGCCTTAACCTTTACAAAGTGCTATAGATAAGTAGGTCGTACTGCAACACTGGTCTTCAAAGCAGGGTTTCTGTGTTAGGAGGAATGCAAGAAGAAAGGAGCAGGATAGACAGAGGCCGTAACTCGCTGTCTGGCTTGGCCAGACAAAATCTCCCCAAAAACCTGACCCGCTAGGTTGTATTATTAAGAGTAACTGACAGATGGTTCAGTTTAGATACTGAGTAATTTGTGTCTTCAAACTACTTTGCCCACTGAGTAAGCTTCAAAATGAAATAAATACAAGTGATATTTTCGTTGACTTGGGCTCTGTTCCCCTCATTTTCCCCTTTTGCAAACCATTTAATAGTGAATTATCAGTAATTGGAATGTTTGGGGCAGACACGTAAGCAGAGCAGTGACAATGCCAGTCGGAGCCCTTGCGGTCCCTGTAGAAGTGCTCAGGTTCAGATGCTGATCCATGCACCGCAGGAGGGAGCCTAGGCCTGTCACCCACAGAAGAGGGCCAGGTGGAGCGCTGGGGTCCCGCCTTCAGCCTGCTCCTGGCCTGGCTACTGTGGGCTTTGCGGGAGGAAACCAGCAGGCATAATATCTCTATTTGCCTCTCTGTCTCTATACCTCTTAAATAAATAAAAATAAAGAATTCTTAAGGGGTAGTGAGGATGGATGATATATTAGTTTTCTTCCTTTTGGATGGTTTTTCTCATCAAGTGGTCTTTTTCTTCATTTCCCATATTAAAAAAAGGGGGAGAGGGGCAGCAGAGTTGTGTTCTGCTTTGCTCAAGTAAACATGATAAAATCTGAAGCACGTAAAAAATGGAAAGAGCAAAATTGCTTGCATTTTTAAAACACTTTTTAAGAGTAACTTTTTTTAAAAGGTGGAGAATTCAATATGGGATATGTCCCAAATGGCATATTTTTAAAAGCTTTATTTTTATTTGAAAGGCAAAGTTACAGAGAAAAGGAGAGAGAGAACGGTCTACCATCTGCTGGTTCACTCCCCAGAGAGCTGCAAGTTACAGCCAAGCTAGTCTTAAGCCAGGAGTCTCCTCCTGGCCTCCCACATGGTTGCAGGGACCCAAGAACTTGAGCCATCCTCTGCTGCTTCCCCAGGCCATAAAGATGCTGGATCAGAAGTGAAATAGGGCCTAGCACAGTAGCCTAGTGGCTAAAGTCCTCGCCTTGCACACGCCAGGATCCCATATGGGTGCCAGTTCTAATCCTGGCAGCTCTACTTCCCGTCCAGCTCCCTGCTTGTGGCTTGGGAAAGCAGTTGAGGACAACCCAGAGCCTTGGGACCCTGTACCCACATGGGTGACCCAGGAGACAATCTGGGCTCCTGGGTTTGGAGTGATGCAGCTCTGGCTGTTGTGGCCACTTGGGAAGAGAATCAACAGATGGAAGTTCTTCCTCTCTGTCTCTCCTTCTCTATTTATATCTGACTTTCCAATAAACAATTAGATTAAATTAAATTAAATTATATGAATTGACACCCATATGGAATGCTAGCACTGTAGCAGAAACTTAAGCTACTATACCATGGTACAAGTTGCTCCAAATTGCATTTTTTTAGAAGTTTGTTAATTTATAAAGCAGAAATCAAAAATAAGGAGAGACACAGAGAGAGAAAGAGAGACTAATCTTTTGTTTGCTGGTTTATTCCCCAATAACTGCAACTGCCAGAACAGGGCTGAAACCAAGAGCCAGGAACTATGTCTTTGCCTCGTATGTGGGAAGCAGGAGTACAAGCAGTTGGATCACCATTCCTGCAGGAAGCTGGATTCAAAGCTGAGCAGCTAGAACTTAAAACCAGCACGCCGAGGTGTAGCAGCTTAACAGTGCTGGCTCCAGACAGATGTCTACCATCTGCCAGCTCACTCCCCAAATGGCTGTCATGGCTGGAGCTGAGCCAACCCCAGACCAAGAGCCAGGAGCTGGGTCTCTCAAATAGATACAGGGCCCAAGGACTTGAGCCATCCTTTACCACCTTGCCAGGCCACAGTCAGAGTGGAGCAGCCAGGACATGAACTGTCACCCATAAGCATTGCTGGTGCCACAGGCAGAGGATTAGTATACTATACCACTGTGCCAGCCCTCAACAGAATAACTCTTAATAAAACAATTGATCATTTTATATTGTTTGTATTTCCATCACTGAGCCAGAAATGGCCTTTTCATAAGCTATTCAGACCTCTAAAAACAATCCTCCTTTGAGAATGGTATGGAAAGTTGAGAAGGATGTCATGTATTCATATATACTCATACTCAGTTAAACTGATGAAACTTTAATTGCCACACCTCAAACAGCATTCTTCCAGATAGCCTAGTTTACTTCGCTAGATAATTTAGAAAATTAGTAGCCAGTGTGTATTATATACTAATTTTGAGCCAGGTAGTGTTCAAAGCACTTAATATAAGGGGTACTTCAAAAAGCTTATAGAAGTATGAAATTAAAAGTTTATTTCCATGGGAGATAAGTTTTATATTCATGCATAATTTTTCATAATATGCCTTTCATGTACCTTTTGAAAGCCACTTGTATATTAACTAGGTCATTTTCCTCACATCTAGATTGTTTATTGTTATCATTTATGTGAATGAGGGAAGTAAGACACAGAGATTAAGTAATTTGCCCAGGGTCATTCTCAGTGGTAGGAGCAAGTTTTAAACAGATTAACTGCTTCTGAACTCAGACTTGTAGCACTTACGCCAAACTGGCCATACTCTCCTTACTCTGGCCATTCTGTGTGAGACGCTTATGCAGGGGGAGCCAGATTTCACCAATGGCCCTTTGCCACTTTCATAAAGCATCTCGGTAACACAAAGAGGAGCCTATGTTGTGACACAGTGAGTTAGGCACCTACCTGTTATGTCAGCATCCTACTTAGGTTTCAGTTCAAGTCCTGATTGTTCCACTTCCTGACCAGCAGAAGGACTCAGTCTCTTCTTCTCTGTCTGTAACTCTGCCTTTCAAATAAATAAGTATTTTTAAGAAAAAAAAAAAATAATAAGGTCCAGTGGGATAGCTCAGTGGCTAAATCTTTGCCTTGCTTATGCTAGTATCTCATGTGGGCACTGGTTCATATCCCAGCTGCTTCACTTCCCGTCCAGCTCCCTGCTTGTGACCTGCACCTGTGTGGGGGACCAAACCCAGAGGAGGCTCCTGGCTTCGTTGTAGCCACATGGAGAGTGAACCAGCGGATGGGAAATCATTCTCTCTATAAATCTGCCTTTCCAATAAAACTAAATCTTAAAAAAGAAAGACACCTTAAATGTATACCTCAAAATGTTGATGTATTAAGAGTGGTTTATTTCAGCAGGCAGTGATTGCTTCAAGTGTTTCCTATGACTACCCTAGCATTGAGTGTCCTGTCACTCTGACCAAAGTTGCTGGAAGTGAGCTTGTCCATCTTCTGTGCATACGTTTTGTATTGCACAGGCCCTTTGAGATCACTCCTCAACTAAAATTTCCCCGAGCAGGGCAGAGAGCCTCTGTGGCAATGGAGGCTTCCAAGATAGGCAGAGCCAGTAGGCCAGGATGCAACTGAGACCGTGCAGGAAAATGAGTATAAGCAAGAGACTCTAGAACATGAGGTTCAGGAGAAATGCATACAGGCACAGCAGATGGCTGTGGGGTCTCCCCACAGATTCCTCTAGTACCCCGTTGCCATAGGGGATGAGCCTGCTGCCTGCCACCCAGCCTCTGGCACATGAGAAACAAGTAGACGGACAGGGGTTCTGTCCAGCAGTTCCAGTTTATTTGGGAAGTACAGATTCTTATATAGGTAAGGGATAGCCTCAGGCCAGGAATCTAGGGAATTCCAGGAGGGGAGAAACTAGGAGCCAATTACTAGGAGCATGACTGTGGAAGCCACCTCCCATAGGCCAGGGGTAGGTGAGTGAAATGGCCCTGGTCAATCAGTCTTTGAAACAACATGTCCCCTGCCCTGGTTCACGCCCAGGACTCTGTCCTTGGCCGCCATCTTGCATGCCACATGTACTCAGTGACCTTGACTGTTAGTCACCATCTTATTGACTTAGTGACTTCTTTGCCCCTGAGCCCCACGGAGGGGAGCCCAACCACCTGCTGGGCTTCAGAAGGAGACCATTATGGAAACCTTGGAGTCCAGGTTTCCTCAGCAGGCTGTGAGGTCAAGTGCCGAATGTCATTTAGACACCAGGGGACCTTGGGAGTTAGAGAATGCAACTTTCTAGGAGTGGTATTTAAAGTGACCTTTAGGACGCATTCATCCTTGTTTGGGGTGGTGGGGGGCTGCCACCCAAGATTGTAATATCATGAGAAATGGCAAGCCCCATGAGAACTGGAACATGAAAAGCCACATAGAGAGAAGTTGCACTGTAGACAAACAAGCCAAAGCCCCAGAGGATCAGCAACATTCAGGGTTATTTGATCGTGAGTAATTTTTTAATTGGTTTATATTTAAGCTGTCTGCACCTCATGGAATTTCCAATGAAGACATTGTCTCACACAACCCTGGAGAACGCTCTTGTAAGGTTAGTAGAGCTCTGTCTTTACTGGCTTATGTTTAAAAAAAAAAAAAAAAGGCTGGCCTCTGTTACTGCTACTACACATTATTAAATGCTGGAGGCACCAGAGATTAAAATGTGAAAAAGTAATAATATTTTATTAAATAGTAATTGCTTCAGAGAGTGATATTGTACCTTACAGCATGGGGACGAACTTGTGATGCTGAAACAGGCAGGAAATAATGACTTGGAATGCCAAAAAGGGGAATTTACCAGCAGAGTTCACCTGTCTCAGATGAAAATTATCATCCCACTTGATGAGCGTCTTAGACACAGACCACATGTAAGGAATTGATACAATACAGCCCTCATACCAAATCTGGCAGTGTTTCATAAAACTATTAATTATGTCTCATCCTTGATTTTTTATTAACACATTCATTTCAACCAGAGTTGAAATTACAGTCACATTTCATTCTATTTTTAGAATAAATTACTTGGCGGCAGTTTGCCACTGCCATACTAATCATCTCAACTCACAAAGTGACAGCCATGTGTTTTGCCTACTTTGTGTCATGCTGGCTTACAGCAACCAGAGCTCTCAGTCATTAATTTATAAACTGTGATAACTGTTTATTTTTTAAATAATGTAAACATGTTTACCAAGGAGCCAGAGACTAGTTTGCTGGCAGAACAAATAATTGTTTTAAAAGGAGCCCTATAAAAGCTAAGACTGACATAAGAAAAGCTCTTCCCTTTAAGATATGATCTTATTGCAAACTTCATCTCTGGATAGCTCATGAATCCTGCAGCCTCTAGTCACAATGTAGGCTTAACAAATTGTGGAGCTCAGGAAGATAGTGATTATTTAATGTCATTTATTTAGCAAGACAAATGCTGTTGGACAATTGACAGAGCTTTTCAAGTTACCCAATTAAATTTTTACTATCAATGTTCATGTACTAAATGTGAAAAATGATATGCATCAGTCTTTCACACCAAGTGTTTGGTTTGCTATTTATCCTACTTATTGTAATCTGGCCCAACACCTCCTGGAAGCCAGTTTATCTCTTGAAGTTCTCTGAAAAACCAAGAATTTGTGTTTTAAACAGTAGAGAACTTAGTGTTGAGCTGGTTGCTGCTAGCAAATGAAAATTCCAGCCTCAATTCACACAGGAAAAGTTGTTATTCTGAACTTTGCTGTTTTTAATATAGCATTATTTATCTGCCATAGCAGCCTGCCCTTTCTCAAAACACACTGATAATAACAATGAGAGTTACACTGTGAAGTTTTCCTTCCTGAAGGCTAAAACTCTTCTAACATCCCCGGGATTTTCCACCTTAAACGCCGTCTTCTCATTGGACACTGCAGCGTGCAAAGCTAGTGGCTGCTTCATCAGCACTGGTGTTCATGAAGGGACTCCTCCTTTGGGCTTCTGATTCTCCTTACATTTTTTTTAGAAAAAGAAAAACTTTGAAAGCCTATTTTTTAAGCTGAAGTTCTCTAAAAAAAAAAAAAAATGTGTTATACATTTCCTTAAATACAAAAAGTACTGAACTTTATCAGTTGTGTTTGAATGGGAAAAGGGGGAGTTGCCTACCATGCCGCTGAGAGACAGAGCTGGGTTCAGGGTCATTGCTGCCACACCAGGCAGTTATCTTAAATGTCTAGACTGAACATTTTTAGGGCAGTGAGAATAATAACGGTTCAGGAGTGTAGCCCAAAGAAATGAACGATAATGTTATCTCACTCACAAGGATGACTGAGTTTGGCACTCCTTATCCTTGGTCTATACTGCTGAGGAATAGTGGGGTGCTTTGATTTTGTTTTGTTTTGTTTTTTCCCTACTGGCTGTGTGTTGATATATTTTCCTAATGAAGTATTAAGCCTGTGATTGCAAAGTAAAATGAAAAGTGTATCATTGTAAAGATTAGGGAGAAGAAAACAGCAATAGGGAAGGGAATGTGGAAATCAGGAATGCGGGCAGGAGAGAGGGTAGAGTGGGAAGTACCACTGCGCTCCTAAATCTGTAGCATGAAATTTGTTCACTTTATGTACATTATTTAAAAAGGAAAATTTTAAAATGTAAATAATTTTTAAACTAAAATTTTTTTAAAGCATAACTCCTCAGAGTTGGTTTTAGAATTGAAATCTTACGTGATTTCTTTTCTATAAAATCCCAGAGGGGCCCAGCATTGTGGCACAGTGGATGATGCTGTCACTTGCAGCATCCCAGGTGGGTGCCTGTTTGTGTCCTGGCTGTTACCCTTTTGATCCTGCTCTCTGCTGATGTGCCTGGGAATGTGGCTGACCTGAATGAAGCTCCAGGCTCCTGGCTTCAGCCTGGCTTAGCCCTGGCCATTGCAGCCATCTGGGAAGCGAATCAACACATGGAAGATATCTCTCTCTCTTTCTCTCTCTCCCTCTCTCCCCATATCTCTTTCAAATAAATAAATCTAGAGGAGTGGGGGGGGAAAAAAACACAATAGGTAAATCCATGGAAACAGAAAGTAGGCTGATGGCTGCCAAACGCCAAGGGGAAAGCCAGTAGAGAATGGCTGGCTGGACAGTGGTCGCAGGTTTCTATGCGGTGATAAAAGTTCTAAGCTTGGGTTGTGATGAAGGTGGTTCAGATCTGTATATGTACTAAAACAATGTATATTTTAAATGGACAGTTTTTGTATATAAGTTATATCAGTAGTTTTAACAAATTAATTGAGTGATACATAGTGAATAAGCAATATATATTAACTGTTTTATTATTATCATACCATTTGTATTAACAATCCTAGCTTTCCTAGAAAGACCAATGAAATACATTTACATACACATGGCCATTGTGGTCTTTGAGTTGTAATGAGTCCTCTGGGAGACCCTGCTTGGCCGCTCTGATGAGCAGCATCTCCAAGGATACCCTTGCACTGAAGGCAGAGGAGGGAAGGGAATTGGGAGGCACAGTGGACATCTCCTCCCTTCTAGACTTGATGACGTAGTTCTTTGGTCCACGTGGAGATGCATGATTGCATTTGGTGTGAGACAGCTCTCCAACTTCATTTTTTTCCAAATGTTAACCGCCTTGCCTAATGATACTTATTGACTAGTCATTACTCTCTTCACAGATATAAACCAGGAAAAAATGAACATCATAAAGAGACATATAATTGTGTAAATATAACTCTTAAAGCCACCCAACTTAAAATATCTCATAATTCCTGAATTCACATTTTGTCATTTATTTAGGAAAAAATAGTATCCTTCAGGTGGACTTTATGGTGCTGGTGATTGTGGGTCCATGTCTCTTCATATAAAGAAACTAATAACTGCTTGTCAAAAGGAAAGCCCACTCTTCACTTTAGCCTCTCCTCTCTCATTGGTTTGCTGACTAGAGAATAGTAGGTTCTCTTTTCTAATTTATCTCTAAAGTATTGGTTAAACCATTCAGATTAAGCAGAAAATTCAGGCCAGACATAGTTAGTGTGGCTTTCAAAAATTAGAGAAAGTTCTCAGCCAAGTGGAAATAAATGAAATAGGCTTTACTTTTTGTGAAGTACACATTTGTGGGAAGTGATTAGTCATTTCCATTATAAAAGGCAAGAACATAAATTGCAGAACTTTTCCATCGTAATATAGACATGGTTTTTAAGACTCCAACTTCAGGTTCACCAGCTTCTAGTGTTTAAGGAAAAGCTAACCTTGGGCGTGGCATGGTAGCCTAGCAGCCATGTGGGAGACCTTTAAGAGGCTCCTGGCTTTGGATTGGCTCCTGGCTTCGGATTGGCTCAATTCTGGCTGTTGTGGCCACTTGGAGAGTGAATCAGTGGATGGAAGACCTTCCTCTCTGTCTCTCCTTCTCTGTATATTTGACTTACCAATAAAAATAAATAAATTTTGTTTAAGATTTATTTTTATTTTTATTACAAAGTCAGATATACCAAGTGGAGGAGATATAGACAGGAGGCTCTTCCATCCAATTATTCACCCCTCAAGTGATCGCAACGGCCAGTGCTGTGCCAATCCAGAGCCAGGATTCAGGAACTTCCTCCAGGCCTCGAATATGGATGCAGGGTCCCAAGGCCCCAGGCCGTCCTCTACTGCCTTCCCAGGCCACAAGCAGGGAGCTGGATGGGAAGTGGAGCCACCGGGATTAGAACTGGTTCCCATGTAGGATCCCTGCGCATTCAAGGCGAGGACCTTGGCCACTAGGCCATGCCGCTGGGCCTAAAAAATAAATAAATCTTTGAAAAGAAGAAAAACCTACCCTTGAAAGGCATGTCAAAAATCACTGCTATACAGAATAGGTATTATATTTAACTAGACAGTTCCCTTTCATTTTATTCTCTTGATTTAAACAAAAACAAAAACATGCTATAAAACATTTTGATTGAGAGTCCTTTTCATCCTCCCTTGGCAAAGGCATATGTTTTCCAGCTTGATAATGATTCCCTTATTTGGCTTCATGTGGATTTGCATGTTATAATTATGTTCGGGACGCTAAACAACAACAACAAAAAAATGGTTGCAGAGTCTATAATAAATCCAGCATCTTTCGGCACACTTCATTCTCGGCTCTGTTTTCCCCCCAAGGACCCAAGCCACGCTCAGAAGCCGATTGACAGCAATGTTCCTCAAGCTGTTGTTCTTCACGATTTTCCAGCAGGTAAGGACAGAAATAACTGCCTGATGGAGCTGTGGCGTCAGGAGTGAAGCTCCCCCCCAGGTTAGCCACGCCAGACAGGAGCCTGGGGAGCGCTGTGCAGACAAGGTCATCTCAGCATCCTTCCCCCTGCAGGAAGGTCCGGGAACCCCAGCCAATCCAGAACCTTAGCTTGAAACTCCCCGCTCTCACAAGAGAGAATTTCCCTTACAAATAAACATCAGCAAATTATAAACTTTTTATGCTTTCAAAATAGATTGTGCTAATTAATGATTATAAGGAAGTTAATTGTAGTACATACATTATTTTGTCCTAAAAATCGCCTCAGCTACTACATACCAATGATATCAAAATACTTTTTATAATTTTTAAATATCTAATTCTATAAAATAAAAATAAGCTGCTGTTGTACTTACTCTTTCTCTGCTCAGTACACTAATATTTTATTTTGGATAAATTTACCCACTGAAGCACTATAGCACTCTGGGCCCAGTGTGATAGACTAGCAGCTAAAATCCTCACCTTGCACATACCAGGATCCTATATGGGCACTGGTTTTAATCCCCGCAGCCCACTTCCCATCCCAGCTGCTTGTGGCCTGGAAACAAGTCAAGGATGGCCTACAAAGCTTGGGACCCTGTACCGCATGGAGACCTGGAGGAGGTTCCAGGTTCCTGACTTCGGATCAGCTCAGCTCTGGCCATTATTGCCACTTGGGGAGTGAATTGGTGAATGGAAGATCTTCCTCTCTGTCTCTCCTCCTCTCTGTATACCTGCCTCTGTTATAAAAATAAAATAAGCCTTTAAAAAAAAACAGAACTATAGCAACTATAGCACTCATTTACAATTTGAAGTTGAAATTGGAGTTTTTAGGCATGGTTGAAAATATTGGTAAAAATATTATACCATTATCTGTAAAAATTCTTTTCTTATCCAGTGTATAGTCAGCAAAGGGTTTCTTTTTTTTTTTTAAGAATTATTTATTTATTCAAAAGTCAGCTATACAGAGAGAAGGAGAACAGAAAGGAAGATCCATCTGCTGATCTGCTCCCTAAGTGGCCACAACAGCTGGAGCTACACCGATCTGAAGCCAGGAGCTCCTTCTGGGTCTCCTATGTGGGTGCAGGGTCCCAAGGCTTTGGGCCATCTTCGACTGCTTTCCCAGGCCACAAGCAGGGAGCTGGATGGGAAGCAGGGTCGCAGCAACATGAACCAGCACCCATATGGAATCCTGGTATGTGCAAGGCGCTTTAGTCACTAGGCTACTGCAGCAGGCCCAGCAGAGGGTTTCTAGTGGTACCATAAAAATCATTGGCCAGCACAGGGTTTTGTGGTGTTTTCTATTTACTTTTCTAAAGTAAATTTGCCTAGTATAATCTTTTCTTAGCATCAGTAATATACTGCTCCAGTAGGTAGAACTGAATGCCCTCTGTGCTTTGCTTTATTCAAGTTTGCAACCAGGATAATTTATTACCCATACCATAATTTGTATTACAGAGCAAGTTGATGATTTGCGCCTCACCTCTGGGGAAATTGTTTATCTTCTGGAGAAGATAGATGCGGATTGGTATAGAGGGAGGTGTGGAAACCAGACTGGTGTATTTCCTGCCAACTATGTCAAAGTGATTGTAAGTGGGTCATGCTTTTTATTAATTGAACATCTGCTTATGGGTTCTGTGTGTCTTACAGGTTGGAAAACATAATCAGCCTAGATTCTTGAGGTCTGATTCTCCCCCGTTAATTCATCTGGTATTTGGAAAGTCAAAACATGAAGATTTGTTCAGCTTGGTAGTGGTTACTTATATGATTATGCAGCATATTTCATTGCAGCCTGGTACCCACCAAGATGCTGACCATGCAGGCCAACTGATGGACCATCTGGTGTTGGAGGGTTGTTCAGCCCATATTTTAAGGGTCTCTGTTAACCCTGCGAATCATTTCCTGATTAAGTAGTGTGTGGTTGTTCTGAAGGCATGTTCCCTGATGTTTGTTACCACTTCCTTTATTGGAATAGTGTTCCATTTTTCTTACCTAATAATTTCAAGTCTGATTGGGAAAAAATTACAATGAAATATCAGAGTTCTATACACCCTCTCAGGCTGAAATAGAGCGCACATAAGTGTGATGGAGTGTCATATCGTCATATCGTCAGGTGGCTGGGTAACATAAAATCATACTGTCCCTTAAACGTCAGCATCAATAGGAAAGACACGGCTGATTTAATTTAGTGATTTTTATGAAATATCAATAATGCTAGCCGAAATAGTTCAGTGTTAACAATTTATGTGGAAGAATAAACAATTTTACATCATGTCATGAATTTAAAAAATAAGTATAACAGAAAAATCTTTATTTTTCAAATGAAAGAGTTCAAGTCTCTTAGATTATAAAATGTAAAAAAAAAGTTTATGAAATGTATGTCTTATCCTGTGTGTACGCTGATTCTTAGGAGAAATCCAACCACATTTCTCTAAAATAATTTTAAGAATAATGTTAATTTTAGTTACACAGAGAAAACTCTGTGGTGGTTCATGTCCCAAATGGCTGCAGTGCCTGGGGCTGGACCAGGTCAAAGCCAGGAGCCAGGAGCTTCTTCCATGTTTCCCACAGGCGTGCAGGGACACAGGCACTTGGACTGCCCTCTGCTGCTTTCCCAGGCAGAAAGCTGGATTGGAAATGAAGCAGCTGGGAATTGAACAAGCATTCATTTGGGATGCCAGTGTTTCAGGAGGAAGCTCAACTCACTATGGTACATTAGCCCCGTAACAGAACTTTAAGAAGTACAGTTATTAAGGAGCTGGTACAGTAGTTCAGTTGGCTAATCCTTTGCCTACAAGTGCCATTTTCCCATAAGAGCGCCAGTTTCTATCCTGCCTGGCTGCCCAGCTTCCCATGCAGCTCCCTGTTAATGGTCTAAGAAAGCAGTGGAGGATGGACCAAAGCTTTGGACCACTGCACCCACATGGGAGGCTGGAAAATCTCCTGACTCCTGGCTTCACATCAGCGCAGCTCCGGCCATTGCAGTCATTTGGTTAAGAATCAGCAGGTGAACGATCATGGTCTCTGTCCCTTTTTTCTGTAAAGCTACCTATCCAATAAAAATGTTTTTTTTAAAAAAAAAAAAAACTGTTATTACACTGAGATCAGTCACAGTGAATCTGCCACACTATAAATGTAATTTTAAGCCCACAATTTAAAAGATGTTTTAAACATTGAACTTTTAGAATTCATCCAGTAGGCCACTGACTTATTTAATATAAGCCTCAAAGCCTCTCTGTTTCAGACTGCAGACTTTAAGGCCAAATATCTCATTAAAACAACGGCTGTTCTCAGCACGTAAGTGAGGTGTTATGTAAAGTGCTTGCCCCTTAAATGATGTTCACTAGGTACAAATCCACATGGAGGGCCCAGCACAGTGGTGCAGTGGTTAAGGTCCTCACCTTGCACGCCCGGGATCTCATATGGGCGCCGGTTCTAATCCTGGCAGCCCCGCTTCCCATCCAGCTCCCTGCCTGTGGCCCAGGAAAGCAGTGGAGGACAGCCCAAAGCTTTGGGATGGGATCGGCATAGCATCGGCCGTTGTGCTCACTTAGGGAGTGAATCATCGGACGGAAGATCTTCCTCTCTGTCTCTCCTCTCTGTATATCCGCCTTTTCAATAAAAATAAAATAAATCTTTAAGTAAAAAAAAGTCCACATGAAAGGGCAAAAATGTGTTCCAGCATAATGAATATAGAGAGAACTCACAAGTTAGACTACACTGGTTTTATTGTGAGATCAGGGAGTACTGTGGAGTCCTCATATTTTGAGTAGGTGTGGAGGTGCTTACTGTACGAATGTTTGTTGCCTTGGTCTTAGCTGAATTTCTCCACTGAAATTTCAGCTTTGAGAACATCAGCTACAGAAAACTTTGTTGAAGGTAGAATGATAATAATGTACCTATTTCAGCAACTAAAAGAAAGACTAGGTCAGGAAAACTGCTTCACAGTATTTTTTTTTAATCCAAATAAAGAATTTCTTGCTGCTTAGCAATTACAATACCTTTTAATTAGTTGAAAAACAGTTGGATAAACTAATTGTTTTCAATCATGCATTTCCTAATTATTGAACCTTAAATGTATCTTACATAATCTGAAGGGAAAAAAGTAACTGCTCTCTTGTTGTCCCTACTAGATTGATATTCCAGAAGGAGGAAATGGAAACGGGAAAGGAGATGCAGTTTCCTCTCGTTCTATTAAGTAAGTTTATTTAAGTTTTGTTTTGCTTTGTTTTTATGAGTCCTACTTTATTTTTAATTTTTTAAAACTGTTTTATTTTTATAGTCTTTACATAGTTGATTAGAGCACAAAGGGTCAAGCGTTACAGGAAAGTGGGTAAGGCCATTGTTTCCACATTTTTTTTTTTTTTTTTTTTTTTTTTTTGTATCTGGGGTATACAGGGAGATAAAGGGAGAAAACCCACCCAGCCTCCAACCCATCCCAGTGTCCCTGACATGGGGCATGCTCCGAGGGCACTGCTCAACTGGTGATGATAGTTCAACTGTTCTGAATTGCTGCCAATCTCCCCATTCCAAGCACAATGAAATCTCTCCAGAATCCACTGGCTGATATAGTCCATCTTAGAGTCTCCATTTGCCCAGATTTTCACTGCCTACACATGGCTGGGGTAGTTGATTGATTTGCTCTGTCCTCCTTCCTCTGTTGTGGTACCAGGTGTCCTCTGCAGGTTGCAATGTACTGCCATATCCTCCATGTGCACCTGGATATGCTGTCCACTGCTCTGTCTGAGCCTCTGAGGAGGCTCGGCTCTGACACTTGCACTTCATGGCAGACCACAGAACCTGCACTTCTCTTCATGGTTGGGGTTCTGAAATCAGCAGTTCATTTGGAGGGATCCCCAAGGAAACTTTGTCTGAGGTGAACCCAGACTTGATTCTTGTGTATGAATTCTAGTAGTGTCCGGCACAGTCCGTCACCCCAGTCAGCTTATGCATGTGCTGGTGGTTGCAATTGCTGGGTCACTTCTGCCTCCAGTCTTGTCTTCCACATGAACCAGTGGGTGTTGCAGTCTAGCCTGATTTTGCCCACCACACACTCAGCCCCCACACAAACCAGTGGGAGCTGCAGCCTAGTCAGTGAGACCTCAATAATGCCCCCAGGCCTGCCCCCTGCCCTGGTTCTCATGTTCTCAAAGTGTACAGCAGACTGGTCCAGTCTGTCCCACATCCCTTTCAGCTCTCATACATGTCAGTAGGCACCAAAGCCCAGTTCAACCCAACCAGCCCCACTATCCAGCCCATACACATACTGGTGGGTGCCATTCTGTCTAGCCACCCCTGCCCCAGTCCTGGTTTTCATGCCCTCCAGTGGGAGTAGTGACCCAAGAGGGAGGTGCCCACTGTTTCCCTACTGGGCCCACTCTCACATCATGGACTCTCCAGGTGGTTCTGCAGTTTAACTTAACAGAATTAGCCCCTAGTACCAGCATCTACTAGCTGATGCTTAAGCAAAGCCCAACCAACCCTCACCTACTAAGATTTATGCTTGTACCAATAGGGACAGGCAGCCCAGCCTGGCTTTTCTCAGATCTAGCTCACATGAGGCCCATAGGTGTTGTAGCCTTGCCTGGTCTGTTCTGCCCCCATCCCAACTGACGCTCTCCAGTGGGAGTAGCTGTCTAGCAGGGTAGCCTTCCACATCCCCCCTACCTGCTTTGCCCCTTACCTCTCTGGTTCTCACATGTGCTGGTTGGGTGCTGCGGCCCAGTCTGGCATGGCCCCTCTTGCCTTGGCATTTGTTAGTGGGTGCTGTAGCCTGGTCTGACCCAGCCCACCCCAATTTCAGCTCATGCTGGTGGGGGTTACAGCCTAGCCCGGCCCAAAAGGCACCCAGTCCCAGCCATAGTACTGTGACTGAATCTGGCCTGACCCACACTTTGCTCTGGTGCTCGGATTCACCAGCGGGTGATGTGAATTGCTTCAACCTGGTCTGCCCCTGACCTATGCCAAATATATGCTGGTGGGTTCTTTCCCTGGCTTGGTCTGGCCTGCTCCATATCATGGCTCTTGCACTCACCTGAAGGGACTGTCCTGACAGAGGAGTTTCCCAAGCTCCTCTATCAGAAGCTCTCTAAATACCGGATCTTGCGCACACCGGGGGTACATGGGCCACTGCAACTTAGTCCACCCCCTGTGCTGGCAGGAACAGTGGCCGTTCCTGACTGGCCTTCAACCTATTCTGGTTCTTACTGTTGGATGTTTCAGTCTAGCCAAGGCTCATCCATACCCAGACAGAGCTCACACATGGCTCAGTAGGGGCAGAGACCTAGCCTAGTCCATCCTACAGTCTGATCCTCCAGAGCACCAGTTGGTGCTGGAGTCTATCCCAACTGGGTGCGCCCAGCCCTAAAGTCCACACTTGTGCCGATGGAGACTGCAGCCATGTCCAGACCAGACTGCAGCTCCCACTCTGGCACCTACATTCACCATTGGGACCCACAACCCAACAAAGTCATCCCTTTAGCTCCCAACCAGGCATGTTCCCAGCCATAGATCGCATGTGTGCCGGTGGTTGCTCTGACCCAGCTTGGCCCCTCACCTGTCTCGGCCTTTGCCTTAGATGCTGTGGCCTAGCATCCCTGGCTCATGCAGACCAGTAGGTATAAGAGCCTACCTTGGCATGACCTGTGCTCCATCCTGATTTCTGGTTTTGCTGGTGAGCTAAGGTTTGCTTGACCCTGCCTGGTCAACCCCCTTCCATAACCAACCCACGCATTAGCTAGCCAGCTATAGGAGCTAGTTTACCCAGCTTGCCCAACCCCCAGGGCTGGACCATGTGATCTTCAGTGAGAGTTATGACCCACTAGGGGAGTTTCCCAAGTCCCCCCAGTTGACCCACTCCCAGACCCAGATCTCATACATGCCAGTGGGTGTTAGGCCAATGCCTGCATAGTCTGCCCTTCCATCTTGGCCTTGTATGAGCTGCTGAACATTGCAGCCCGGCCCACCCCACACCCTGTTTTAGGATGCACATTTGGGTGCTGCTGCCTTGACCTGCCGAGACTGTTATCGGTCCCTTTACCCATGAGTGAGGACAGCTTCCTTGGTAACACCTAGCTCAGCACATCACTACCCCAACTCTTGAGCTAACCAACAGGACTTGTATTTCCACAGAGTTGGGCCCACACATCCTCCATAAAATCTACCCCTGGACTTGGTTCTGTCATGGACTGGTTAGTGTCATGGTCCTGCCAAATGTGACACATCCCCTGATCAGCATTCTGTTAGCTACTATGGTCTAGTCCTGCTACACAGGCCCCAGCCTTAGCTTTTGTAATGACTGGTGTATGGTGATCAGCATTGTTCAGTCAAGTTCTACACAGGGCTGACAAATAGGCTGGTGTATCAGACCCATACAGATCGTCAGGTCTCTCTCCTCCAAACCACCAGGTCTCAATACCCTCGCTTACCTTCAAGGAAAAGTTATCCTGTCATTGGGAATCCCTCAGGATTGATTCCTCCCTAACACACACAGTGGCCTCATTCATGGACATACCAAGGCAGCAATTCCACATCCCCTAGGCCCCAGAGCTTGCCACCAAGTAATCAGCGAGTGGAGCCTGGCACCAATTGGCACACTGGCCGCCCAGGACTCATACCACATGGTAGCAGTAACTGTGGCCAGGGACCCTTGCATTGAGTCCAACCTGGCCTAGGTGCTCCCAGCAGCCACCAAGCTGCTGGAAGTTCTCTCCACCATAAGTTTTATTTGTAGTTGGTTGTTCATTATACAAAGGAGACAAGTACTTACCAAATTTAAGTATTTCATATGGTCTGATTATTCTGATTCTCAGGATGTTTGTTTGTTTACTACTGAGGAAAGCTTTCCTTGCTTACGAAGGGATAGTGGATTAAAGTTCTGATGAAGCAGGCGCATGTGGTAGAGGTTGACCTAAGTCACTCTGCTTTTCCAGTAGAATGAATGTAGCCAACAGCCAAACAGTCTGTCCCAATGCTGCCCACGGCCTGACCTCAGCTCAAGCATAGATAGCTTTTGCTACAAGTGCATTTTATTTAGCCTCCTGGTTTTTAATCTTCAAAAAAATGTTTTTAAAGATTAAAATATCTTTGAAGAAAAATAAATTTTATGAAATCTAAGTCCTGCGAAAACAGCTATGTATTTTTTGTTGCCTTGTTCCTAAAAACAACTAGAAGAAAGTAAAGGAAGAGTTAAGGTAAAGAAGTCTTTTATGTCTGGCGAGCTTTATGTGAATTTTTGTATCCCTTTATGTGACACTGTAATATGTTTGTAATTTAGAACACTGCAACAATGCAACTTTATATTCTGGTTAAGTGAGCAAATTAAAAGCATTCAGTACCTGCAGAAGACTGTAAGCCTGTCTATGAATAGGTCAGACAGAGGGTGCTGCTCCCAGTGGGTCTTAGGAAGGAAATGCAAAGCTTATCACAAACAGGAAGACCTCTCACACCACAATAGTTGGGTTCTATTTCAGATTCAGATTTTCTCTTATTTTTAACCAGCACGTACTGTGTCAGCAGGTGGAATTTAAAGTGGACTATCACAGCCGTTGATCCATTGACCTGACTTAAATCGGAATTTGGAGCTGGGACCAATCTTTTTTCCTCCATGCAATTGCTTCTCCTAAGCCTGTTGCTATTGAAACTTCCTTCCTAATGCTTCAAATCAAAGGTTTGACATAAAAATCATACCTTCTAGAGACTCAATTTTGTCTCTGCTTTTATCTTATTTTCAGTGAAGATTGCAGATTACTTAAAGATTATTCCAAGTCTCAGAAATGAGGCATTTTTAAAACATATACAAAAATGATTTTGGAAAGCAACAGGTATAAGCATTTATCATGGAGTTCTTGGGAAATGCATCTTATGAAAAAAAATGCATGAATTTCAAATTTTTTCACCAAAAAAAGTTATCTTTTGGTTCCATTTCTTAAGAACTTTTTGAAATCCCTTCATATGTTCAACTCATTAGTGGATTCAGTATCAGAGCGTCTGTTTTCCCACCTGGTCCCGTTTCCTTCTGTGCCGACTCTTGGTGAGATTGCCTCAGTGCCATCAGGATTGGAAGCCCTCGGAGTGGCCCAGGGCTGCAGACACGTAGGGTGGCAGGGATTCTGGAGTGAGGCAGATGTGCCCGACAGACACTGCAGGGTACGCTAAACACCCACCTACTTCCCGGCCATGCTTGTTGGGCTCTGTGACCTACGTGTTAGTCTTCTCGAGTGAATAGCCTCATATCTAAAATGAACACTGATGCAGTGGGTTAAGCCACTGCTTGTGATGCCTACACCCCATATGAGTCTGGACTGCCGTGCTTCCAATCCAGTTTCCTGCCAATGCATGTGGGAGGTGGCAGATGACGGGCCCATATGTGAGCCCCTACTACCCGGGTAGGAAACCCTTATGGAGTTCCTGCTGCCTGGCGTCAGCCTGACATGGTCCTGGCTATTTTGAGCATTTGAGCAGTGAAATAACAGACTCTCACTCACTCTCTTTTTATCCCTCTTCCTCTGTTTGCTGTTACTGTGTCTTTGAAAAAACAAATGGGAAAAAATCCACTAATTTAAAAGCATAACTTACAATTTTTTATGGAAATATTTTAAATTAGTATATGTTCTTCTGTTGTAAACACAGAATCTGCATAAATTTCTTGCAAAGATTGAGTGAAGGTTTTCAAGCATTTCAGAAGTTAGTACTCCCTAGTTTAACCCATAAGTGTTCTTTTTTCAGGGGCCTGAGATGTATTGCTCGGTTTGAATATATTGGAGACCATAAGGATGAGCTAAGTTTCTCAGAGGGAGAAATCATCACCCTTCAAGAGTATGTGAATGACGAATGGGCCAGAGGAGAACTTGGAAACAGAACTGGGATTTTTCCCCTTAACTTTGTGGAATTTCTTGAAGAATATCCCACCTCTAGTGCAAATATTTTAAGTGAGTACAAAGAATTACATCATCTCTTAATTCATATGAACCAAGTAGTAGAGTAATGTTTGCACTACATGCTTATCTAATCACTACATTTTAAGGGTTAATAGAAATACGACTTTTAAAATAGTGACTTATAGGCCCAGCCCTATAGTCTAGTGGCTAAATCCTTGCCTTAAATTAACTGGGAAGCCATATGGGCACCAGTTTATATCCCGGCAGCTCCACTTCCCAGCTCCCTGCTTGTGGCCTGGGAAAGCAGTCAAGGACGGCCCAAAGCCTTGGGACCCTGCACCCGCGTGGGAGACCCAGAAGGCCCTGTCTTCGTATCAGCTCAGCTCCGGTCATTGTGACCCCTTGGGAAGTAGTCTTTATCTCTATATCTCCTTCTCTCTATATATCTGTCTTTCCAATTTAAAAAAATAAAATAAATCTTTTTTTTAAAGGTAACTATAAAAAAAGAGTGACTTATGTGGGATATTCGTTTTATGGCCATCTCTCAAAGTGCTGGTTTAGATGTTTCAGATAATTAGTAGTACAGAATTGCAAAGACTTGAAAGCAGAAATGGATTATAGAGCTTAGGGTGTAGATTCTTTACTCTACAATTAAGTAAACAATCCAGGGAATGGCAAGATAGCGCACCGGTCCATGAAAGACAAGTCTGACACTTCAGACTTCTCACTCCGCCCAGCAGTTTTTTTCTGCTGCCCTGTGATCTTCACATCACATGTTTTGACTTGTTTTTAATATAGACACAAAGGTAATAATAATAATATAATAATATATAATAAAGGTAATAATAATAATAATGTTTTGACTTGTTTTTAATATAGACACAAAGGTACCACAGAAGACCAAGAAAGAAGACTCTGGCTCAAATTCTCAGGTAACAGCACTTGAATAGATAGCTGTGTGACAGCCACGTGTAAGCCCTGGGAGCAATATTAAGATCGTAATTAAATAAGGATGTGGTGTTTTTCTTGGCTCCAAACCTGCCTGTGGCTGACATTGGTAGATTTTTGATTCCAGCTTCTTGCTAATGCAGACCCAGAGAAGCAACTGTGATGGCTCAAGTAACAGGGGCCTGGCCACGCAGTAAGAGACCTAGATTGAGTTCCCGACTCAGGCCCCATTCCAGCCCAGATGTTGCAACCCAGTGAGTGAGGATGAGCGAGTGGACCGCACATCTGTGTCTCCCTCTGCTCTCCTCCTTCTCCCCTTCTCTTTCAACACCTTTTTCCTTCTGCCTCTCTCTTTGTCTCCTTTATATTTCTGTGTCTCTCAAATAATATATTTTAAAAGAAATTCTTAATAATAATTAATTGAATAATTAATGTCTATCGCATATAGAACTCATAGAGACCCTGATATGAAAATGAGAGATATGATTAGCGTATTTGTAAAATGGATCTGCTAAGTGACTGACATTGGAAAAAAGCCAGGCCTAGCACAATGACTCAGTTTTTAATCCTCTCCCATCAAGCGCCCCGATCTCATATAGGTACCAGTTTGTATACCCGCTGCTCCACTTCCCATCCAGCACCCTACTTGTTGCCTAGAAAAGCAGCTGAGGATTGCTCTGCACCCCTTTGGGAAACCTGGAAGAAGCTCCTGGCTCCTGGTTTCTGGTTCCTGGCTTCCGGCTCTGGATTGGTGCAGCTTTTGCCATTACAGTCAGTCATATAGGGAGTGAACCAGCAGATGCAAGATTTCTCTCTGTCTCTCCTTCTCTCTGTTAAATCTGCCTTTCAAATAAAAATAAAATTTTAATGTATATTTTTATATATTTAAATATATAATATATTCAAAGTTCCAGGTTCTTTACATATATATATAAAATATATATTTTCCCATACATATATACACACATATACATTTGTGTGTGTGTGTGAAATATCCTGAACTTTATTAGCAATCAAGAAACTCTGGAGCTGGGAAAGTGGCACAGGTCTGGCCGTTGCAGCCATCTGGGGGGTGAACCCACAGAAGGAAGGCCTTTTCTCTCCTTTCTCTGTAAAATCTGCCTTTTGAATAAAAATACTTATTTTAGAATGTGTAAGAAAGCAATAGTAAAGCATTAGTTAACCTATGCAATTAATATTCTCTCACTGTTATGTGACAGAACTCTAAACAAGTGATTATAATCATAGAAATGTTTAAAAAGAGATAATAAAATTATTACTATTTATCAATCTATGAAAAGGATTAAAAAATCATGCAAGGTTTTAGTCACAAAGGTACTATAGAATTGGGGAAAATCAGAAACATCCTAGTTACATGGTTATTGTTTGAAAAATGTTCTTAAGTCATAAAAAAAACTATATTCATGAAATAAATATCCTAGAATCAAAACATATATTATAAGCATAAAGGTTATAAAATTGGATAGATAGCATGATCAAAAGATACATTTAAATTGATTGAAATTTATATTGGTTATATTTAAATTAAATTGGTTAAATGACCTCTTGAAGGTAAGATTTTTGTATGTATGTAAGTATGTAAGTAGGTTTTTTCATCTCTACTCTTTGTACATATTTGAACTTTCAAAATATTTAGAGTTTTTGCTTGTTTGTTTAAGATTTAGTTGAAAAGCAAAGTTAGAAAGAGCTCTAACATCCACTGGTTGACTCCCCAAATGACCAGAGTGGTCAGAGCTGGTCCCGTCTGAAGTCAAGAACCAAGAGCTTCTTCCAGGTCTTGCACGTGGGCCCCACATACTCGGGCCATCCTCTGTTGCTTTCTATGATGCATTAGCAAAGAGTTAAATCAGAAGTGGAACAGCTGTAACTCATCCAGTGCCCAGACGGGATGCCAGTGTCACAGGGTGTGGCTTTACTCCACGACAATACCAACCCCAGAAACATTTTGATAATAAAAAATAGAGAAAACTGTTTTAAAATTGTTACACTGTGTAAAATGACTCCAGAAGTATCTAAAGGTGATGGTAGGGGAAAGGGAGTTTCATACAATGTTAAGAAATACATCAGTTGATAATAATACATCAGCAGATGAAGACACACTCTGACCTTGAAGGAAAGCTCATCTTCATTCTCTCCATGGAAGTCATATAAGGCTTTGACCTTCCTCCTCTTCAGAGCTTGAGCAGATGTACTTTTTGCCTCAGCTGTGAAGACACCAAAAGTGCAAATTCACTGAGAGACAACGGACTAGAACACAAAGCAGACGTTCTACAAACCACCCTTGTTATTCTCAGGACCTTGTTAGCCTGGGCTTGAGTCCTGGCCTTGCTCCCACTTGCAGCTTTCTGCAGATGTGTACCATGGAAGTCCCCGGAAGCCAGAGCTTGAGGACCTGGGTTCCTAACGGTCAGGTGGGGACACCTAATGAGAGATGTCAGCTCTTGACTTTGGCCTGCCCGGCACTCACTGTTTTGGGTTTTAGGGGAGTGGACCAGTGAACATTAACTCTGTGTCTCCTTTTCTCTCTCTCCTAACTCCTCTCACCCTTTTTCCCCCCTCACCATTTTTTAGATCTTGTAGAACTCGATTGTGTTTCTTGTTTTGTTTTTTTCTCAAGAGGCACAGGGAGACAGAACTCCCATCTTAATCATTATGCCAAATGCCTGCCCCAGAAGTCCATTTTAAGCAGAAGCTCACATTTCTTTTCTTTTTCTTTTCTTCTCTTTCTTTCTTTCTTTTTTTTTTTTATTGATTACGTTGCATTATGTGACACAGTTTCATAGGCTCTGAGGTTCCCCTAATCCCTCTCCGTGCCCTCCCCTCACGGTGGATTCCTCCACCTTGTTGCAGTATTACAGTTCAAATCCAGTCATGCTTCTTTCATTGCAAACATGTACCAAGCATAGAGTCCAGCATCTTATTGTCCAGATAAATTCAATGGTTTCTTGGGGAGACCATCTCTGGTCTGAAGGTAGAGCTGGCAGAATATCATCCTGATCAATTAAAAACCCCAACACAACATCAGAAGAAGTTCACATTTCTTACCAAATTTGTGATTTCTAACAGGGTGACAGTCTTCCTGGAGAATGGTGTGAAGCACTTCACAGTTTTACAGCAGAGACCAGTGACGACTTACCTTTCAAAAGGGGAGACCGCATCCTGATCCTGCAGCGTCTGGACTCGGACTGGTACCGAGGCAGACTACACGCCAGGGAGGGCATCTTCCCTGCCGTTTTTGTGCGTCCCTGCTCAGGTATGCAACTGCATGATATGCCTGCCATTTTGTTTTGTTTTGTTTTGTTTTATTATTTCTAGAAAAGGCAGATATACAGAGAGAAGGAAAGATCTTTCATCCTCTGGGTCACTTCCCGTAAGTGGCTGCAAAGGCCAGAGCTGAGCCAGTCCAAAGCCAGGAACTCAGAACTTCTGGACCTCCCACATGGATGCAGTGTCATCCTCAACTGCTTTCCCAGGCCACAAGCAGGAAGCTGGATGGGAAACGGAGCCACTGTGATTAGAACCAGCGCCCATATGGGATCCCGGCACATTCAAGGCGAGGACTTTAGCAACTAGCCCATGCCACCGGGCCCGTGGCTATTATAATTAGAGGGGAGTCCAGGATCTTTGAAACTCCTGCTTCTTTTCTGTCTGGCTGTGCTGAGTTGTGTATAGTTTTAGTACTTGATCCACAAAGTCCTGCAGTCTTCATTCATCTACTCCTATGTTGGAGGTGTTTAGGAAAAGATGAAAATGAATTCACTAATTAATGGCTAATTTTTGCCAAGTATATTTTCTCTAATTTTTCTACACAAGAGAGCATCCTTCATTTTTTGCATTTTAAGTAAACTCAAAATTAATTCAAAATATTACATTCCGAGAATAACAAGGGTGGTTTGTAGAACATTTGCTTTGTGTTCTAGTCTGTTGTCTCTCAGTGTATTTGCACTTTTGGTGTCTTCACAGCTGAGGCAAAAAGTACATCTGCTCAAGCTCTGAAGAGGAGGAAGGTCAAAGCCTTATATGACTTCCATGGAGAGAATGAAGATGAGCTTTCCTTCAAGGTCAGAGTGTGTGTCTTTCATCTGCTGGATAGCTGCACTGAGCACTGTTAAATGTGAGATGTCTGTAATTGAAGGGTGGAACACCGAAATGGAATATTGATCATTACCTAAGAATAAAGACATCTAAGACCTGAATTATAAGGGATGATATGAGAGAAAATGAATAGGGCAATTAAGGCTTCAGGCACTTGAAGATAACCTTGGCCAAGTTACCCGTGATCGCCCTTGTTCCTTGGTTTATTTACATTAACATTTTTGTGCCCTAGTAAAGGGAGATCTGTGTGTGGCCCTCAGAGCTTCTGCTGCTTCTTAGAAATCAGAGGAGAAATCTCATGGAACCCAGTGACAGTCTGCCCACCTCGGAGACACGATTCTTGTCCGTAAAGGCCCACCAAAGCTTTAGGGGAACAACCCCAAAAGATTGAGCTGCTTGGCAAAGGTTTTATTTTATTTTGTTTTAAAGAAACCTAAAGTTTAACCTTAATGTTACATCAACCAACTTCTTATTTTTTTCTTAAAGCACTGATTGAGTATTCCTATGATCCTGTTTCGCAGCCCTCAGTGAAGTCAGGCTAATGTTTTGAGACTGTGCTAGAGGTTAGAGTGGTTCTGGTTGTTGCTGCTATGCATCTAGTGTCTATTAGGCAATGGTGAATTCTCCATGATTGAAGCTATTCAGTCCCAGGAAAGCATCAAGAGTGGGTGAACATTGGACCAAATGCTGATCCAAATGTTAAAACACCCACATGTCATATCAAAACACCTGGGCTCATGTCGGCTTGGTCTAGCCGGGTGGAATGTGCTGCTCCTGTGAAGCCTAGCAGATGGTGAAGACAGCTCTAGAAGTTGAGCTCCTGCCACCCATGTGGGAAACCTGGGTCCAGCTTCCTGGCAGTGCCCGGCCCAGACTAGCCACTGTGGGCAATGGGTAGCAAACAGCTGGCGGCTCACTCGCTCTGCTTATTTCTCTCTATAATCTCTCTGCCTTTCAAATGTAGGAGTAAAAGTTGTTGTTGTTTTATCAAGGAGAGATTGACAGGATATGGCTTAAAATAGGTACCCCAACAAGACTTTTACTTGTCTACAAAAGGGGAAAACAAGGAGCTACTGGGCAGGTGCAGGCTTTGGGGGATTCGAGGGAGGCATGGTGTGAAATGTCAGCACACCACTTTCCTTTATTATGACAACATCCTTTTAGATTTTATGTTTAAATGACATTTCCAAAAAATATTTTTAAATAAAATGACATTTCCATTGAATTGTAATCTGTGTATAACATTGTTATAAATTATAGATGTATTATACTCTGTACCAAATGAAAAAGTTGACAATCCTACTATCAAATTCACTTTTTTAAAGATTTGTTTATTTTTATTAGAAAGACAGATATACAGAGAGGAAGACATTCAGTCTACTGATTCATTCCTCAAATGGCCGCAACAGCCAGAGCTAACCGATCTAAAGCCAAGAGCCGGAAGCCTCCTGCAGGTCTCCCACACAGGTATAGGGTCCCAAAGCCTTGGGCTGTCCTCTACTGCTTTCTCAGGCCACCAACAGGGAGCTGGATGGAAAGCTGGGCCACTGTGACACAAACCACCACCCACATGGGATCGCATGCTTAGCCACTAAGCTATCGCGCCAGACCCATATCAGATTCTTTTTTTTTTTTTTAATATATTCATTGGGCCCGGCATAGTAGCCTAGTGACTAAATGTTTGCCTTGCATCTGTTGGGATCCCTTATGAGAGCTGGTTTATGTCTTCACTGTTCCACTTCCCATCCAGTTCCCTGCCTGTGGTCTGAGGAAGCAGTAGAGGATGACCCAAGGCCTTGGGACCCTGTACCCCAACATGGGAGTCACAGAAGAGGTTCCTTCCTCCTGACTTTGGTTTGGCTCAGCTCCAGCTATCACAGCCACTTGGGGGATAAACAGGCGGATGGAAGATCTTTCTCTCTGAATATGCCTTTCCAATAAAAAATTTTTTAAATATATGTATATATTTATTGGCATTATTTGAAGACAAAGTTACAAAAAGAAGGGAAAAAACAGACAGCTTCCATTGATTGGTTCACTCCTCGAATGGCCATAATAGCTTAGACTGGGCCAGGCCAAAGGCAGAACCCAGGAGCTGCATCCGGGTCTCCCAAGGAAGTGCAAGAGCCCAAACACTTGGCACATTTTCCACTGCTGTGCCAAGCACATTAACAGGCAGCTGAATAGGATGTGGAGCAGCCAGCACTCAAATTGGTGCCCGTATGGGATGCTGGTGATGTAAGCTGCACCACAATGCTGGCCCATTATCAGATTGTTTAAAATATTGTTTAATATTTTATTCCTTAAAATATGTAAGTTTGGAAACTGTTATATTCATCATTTTCAGATTTGAGTCATTGGCTTTATTTATTTATTCTGTGTTTGTATAAAATTTTACTGCAGGAAAATAGCCTAAATTCATATTGGGGAGGAGAGTCTTAATTTAGCTATATAAAATTGTATCAGCTCAAATAATTCACAATATCTGGCCCTAGCATGATGACTCAATTGGTTAATCCTCTACCTCCAAGCATTGGCATCCCATATGGGCACCAGTTTGTGTCCTGGCTGCTCTGTTTCCCATCTACCTCCCTGCTTGTTGCCTGGGGAACACAGTGAAGTGTGGCCCCACAAAAAACCCCGTACCCACGTGGGAAACCCCAAAGAAGCTCTGGGCTCCTAATTCAGATCAGACCAGCTCTGGCTGTTGCAGCCATTTGGGAGTAAACTAGTAGACGGAAGGTCTTCTGTCTCTCTTTGTCTCTGTAAATCTGCCTTTCCAATAAAAATAAATCTTGGGCCCAGCGTGATAGATCAATGGCTAAATCCTCACCTCCAAGCACCAAGATCCCATGTCCCGGTTGCTCCACTTCCCATCCAGCTCCCTGCTTGTGGCCTGGGAAAGCAGTCAAGGATGGCCCAAAGCCTTGGGACCCTGTGCCTACATGGGTGACCCAGAAGAAACTCCTGGCTTCTAGCTTCAGACTGGCTCAGTTCCAGCCATTGTGGCCACTTGAGGAGACATCCTGCAGATGGAATATCTTTATCTCTGTCTCTCCCTCTGTGTAGATCTGCCTTTCTAATAAAAATAAATACTTTTTTTTAAAAATAAATCTTAAAAAAAAATTCATTGTATCCTCCAGAAAATAAGCATTCTTCACTTTTACAAAGACTAAATAAAAGACATTATTTTACAATTAGAAAACCACAAAGAACTTATTTTTAACAGAAAATTTTAATGGCCAGAACTGTAACAATTTATTTGAGGCAAAGAGCTCCCATATGTTGATTTACTCCCAAAAGTGCCTGCCGCAGCTAGGGCGAGGCCCAGCTGAAACTGTCAAACAGATGTCTGATGTAAGTAATCCAAAGACATGAGGCAGCACCACTCGCCTCCCAGGTCTGCAGCAGGAAGCTAGGTTCAGAGTTGGAGTGGGCATCAAACCACGTACTAATTTTAATGTTGTGGCCATGGTGGAATGGAATAAGCCAGATGGTAGAAAAGAAATGCCATTCTGCTCTTTAAAAAATGTTTAAGATGTTGCTAAAAGGCAGTTGTAGTAAACGCCTTTCTTAGTAGTAACATTCATGGTGAAATGTGATGGCCCTAACCTAGTGGTTAGGAAGCCAAGCCCTAAAGTCAAATCAGATTTGGAACCTGGTTTAAGCACTGGTTACATATAACCTTGGTAAGTTACGTATCTACCTTAGCTTCAACTTTCTGTTCTTTAAAATAGGGAATGTATAAAAATGTGTCTTTAAATAAGTACAGCAGTTGCAGCCATGTCTCCAACTGCAGGGTTTAAATAAGTTAGTTCCTGACACGTTTGTAGACTAGGACAAGGCTTACGGCAAACACCTGGCTCATTCTAGCTCTGAGCCTTTGCTTGGCTGATACCTTCCATGGGCCCTCCTTGGTCGTCCTAATGAGGTGCCAGGAGCACACTCCCTCCCGCTCTGACTGCTCGTTTGTCCTTTACTCTGGAGTGAGACCTTCATTCATCACTCTTTCCATGGTGCTCAGAGCACCAGTAAAGGTTTGTTAGATCAAGGGAAGACAAAAAGATAGTTATCCATGACACCGCTGTTTATTCAAGAGTGATTTCTGCGTTAGGACTAGGAATGTAAATGGGAAATGCAGCAAGGCTGGCAGCAGAAAAGGGAAGGCTTTAGAGTTAGTGAGTGCAAGTCAATGGCATTGTTCAGTAAGGAGCTTCGTTATGGCACATCACTTCTTTCAGCACTTCAAGGCAAAGGAGTTGTATCAGCAGAATTTTTTTAAAAATTATTTTTGTGTTTGAAAGACAGAGTTACAGAGAGAGATCTTCCATCTGCTGGTTCACCCCCAAATGGCCACAAGGGCTGGAGCTGGGCAAATCTGAAGCCATAGCCAGAAGCTTCTTCTTGATCTCTTGCATTCCCAAGGACTTGAACCCTCCTCCTCTTCCCAGATCATTAGCTGGATTGGAAGTGGAACAGCTGGGATGCAAACCGATGTCCATATGGGAAACTGTTGCCATAGATGGGGTTGCCGTGCCGTGGCACCAGCCCCCAGAATCTTCTACATATCATTCCAGGTAGGCTACTCAATGTGTTTATTGTCAAGCAAAATTGATTCTTTTCAATTCTTGCCTTTTGCAGGCTGGGGATATAATAACAGAGCTGGAATCTGTGGATGAAGATTGGATGAGCGGAGAGCTAATGGGAAAATCTGGAATATTTCCCAAAATCTATGTTCAGTTTCTGCAAGTCAGCGAAAGGTGAAGCTAGACTGTGTTCCTTGACACAGAACTCACTTGAACTGTCACTTTGACGATCAAATATGTTTTTGCACTATTTTTTTAAACTGAAACAAAAATATCTGCAATGTCACTGGTACACTACAGTTGTCTGAAAGCAGAAACTTCTAGGTTTTGTGGCTGGCTTTCGTTCACAGTGGAAACGTGTAGATGGAAATCCATGAGCTACAATTCTAGCAGGGAAAACATCTAACAGGCCTAGCTGGCCACTGCCCCCGTGGAAGTGTCTAGGCACATGGCAGCAAGGGGACACTAACGAGAGAAAGTTGTTTGGACATCTGTTTTTAGCAGCACAATGAATTAACTCTGCTTCTTCATTTTCTACTTTAGTTTAAAAAGAGTATATTTGACATTCTACTTGCTGAACTATCAGGATATGGTTGGTATTCTAAATTCCATTTTTGATATTCAAATGAATTCCAACAGCTTGAGCACATTAGCCTTATTACCAGGGCAGATCTGTGGTTCAGCAGGAATAGTTTATTAACTAGTTGGAGCATTTCTAAGTACCAGGTAAAACCGGTTCATGCTCACCAAATGCTCCAGGTGTTTCTGAGTGTTTTCCATTTATGCAAGGAGTTGCAGGGTATCCGTGTCTGATGTGTCTTAGAGACCAGAAGCACCCTGAAATGCCTTGCTGATACAACTAACCCTTCTATACATGTGCCATACTTTTTCTTTCCTCAGTATATACTTTATCTTAACAGGGTTATTATAAAACACATCTTCTGAATTTGCAATCATTCCTTTGACAGTTACTGGTACCCAAAGGAAAATTCATTTTCTTTGCATTACCCCAGTAATACATAAAAGCTGTGTCTTGTTATAATAGTGCATTAGGAATCACATGTAGTGTCTTAGGATGCAGATGAAATGTTAAGATGGGAAGCAGTGCCAGGCCGCACAGCTCATCTCTTTGCAATATAATCAAAATGAAAAGTAATTTAAGAGGACTGGAGGCAAGTACTTATTTTTATGCTCCCCACATAATTATTAGAATAAATGAAGAAATGCTTTCTGCTATCCATTGTTACACCTTCCCAGCTTAAGATAATGGTGACTGAATTGACAGTTTATGGGCTAAAGCCAAATAGGTTGAAGACAATCTTCCACACAGATCAATGGAACAGAACTGCTTTGGAAATGTAACACATTTTCCCAACAATGTTCATGACTTTCTTCTGTTTTTAAGAAGAGTTTCATGTGCTAGACCATTTTGTAGCTTTTGTTATTTTTTCCCCTTGTCCACGCTGTTGGGCAGCCAGTGGTCACGCCATCACACCATTATGTGGACACTAAATGGAGTTCTGTGAGAAAGACAACATTGACTTTGTCTCTGACTTGTTTATCTTTCTGTTATTTGGCTACAACTGATTTTGGAATATGGAAACTTTTTTATAAATTATGTTTTGGGTAAGGAACGTGAAAATTCTTATCAAATTTCACTCAAAAGTGATTTCCTGAGAAATGAGTGACATGAAGTATTATCCAAACTAAATTCTCTTTGTACCTGTATAGCAGCAGTAAGCAAGCTATGGATATGAAATGAGGCATAAATTATCTACCTTTGTTTAATTTCAACATCTGATTGAAAGTTGAAACAACCCATCTTTATTAGAGAAAATCGATTAAACTTTGGCCTTCTGTCAGCAGAATGAAGAGTGCAATAGAGTATGTCTACTTGATGCTGTAATAAACTGAACTTTTCAAAGTACTTTCCTCATACTAGACTCTTTTTGACGATAGATGTAACACCTGACTTATCTTTATACTTCTAGCCATTTGCACCGTCCAGGGTGGTTGGTTGGTTGGTTGGATGGATGAAGGACTTTCACACGTAATGCCCTAACCACTCACTATGTTTCCTCTTTATTAGCAAAACTGTGTATTAAAACAAAGTTCAGCTCATTGTAATTTCACTCTGTTATGCTCTGTGCTTTTTGCCCTTTATTTCCAGTTCAGCTGACAGAAAGTACAGATGTAGCCTGTGGGTTTGAAAGCCAGACTCAGCAATGTTTAAGGAGAAACACAATATTTATATTCAGTAAATTTCATGGTAATTTTGTCTGAAGATCTGATGCTGTTAATCTCAGCTTCCTCAACTCCTTCTTTGAATCATTTTTAGTTGATAGGTTAAAACTAGAGAAAATATTTTATTATAATTATTCCCTTGAACACTAAAAGCACATTTTTACAAATGATTCCCCTGGTTACAACATGGCTAGAGGGGTAATGTAACGTATCCTTTTGTTCATGGACATCACAAGCCTTGAAAATTTTCTGTAACATTCAGAATGAAAGAAATCAGTGTATTTATCGAAATTTATTCTCTTTTTTTTTTAAAGATTTATTTAATTTTTTGTGGAAAGGCGGATATACAGAAAGGAGAGACAGAGAGGAAGATCTTCCATCCAATGATTCACTCCCCAAAAGACCGCAACGGCCGGTGCTGCGCCGATCCGAAGCTAGTTGCTAGGAACTTCCTCCAGGTCTCCCACATGGGTGCAGGGTCCCAAGGCTTTGGGCCGTCCTCGACTGCTTTCCCAGGCCACAAGCAGGGAGCTGGATGGGAAGCAGGCTGCCGGGATTAGAACCAGTGCCCATATGGGATCCTGGTGCGTTCAAGGCGAGGACCTTAACCTCTGCGCCATCGCACCGGGCGCCGAAATTTATTCTTAAACCTGTCATTTAAAAAGCATTTCTTGGAAAGGCAAGAATTAACATTTTTATAGTGACTATTTAGTTTTTATTCAATTTCTTAAGCTTTGATAAATATACCTGAAAAATAGTGATGAGTACATGGGCTAATTGAATAGGCCTACATTGATATCATTAATAGTTTTTTTAAATTAGTGTCAAATGCACCTTGGTGGTATTATTTATGATGCAATGTCATCTTGAATGCTATTGAGTAATCCTTTGCAGTAATTTTTTTTTTTCTGAACTAATAGGACATCATTTTTACCCTGTGGCTTTTTACTTCATTGTAATTATCGAAGGAATTGAATACAAAGCTTAACTTAGAACAACACCGCCATCTTGAGGCCCATCACTTATTTACACACTGTTAAACCTTGGCGAGTCTTTGGAGACCAGGAGTTGGCCTGCAGAAATTACATAATTACTGGAAGAACCTAAAATAAAACTTAGTTCTACTGATTCCCATTCTAGGAGTTTCCCCTTTTGTTCATAAAAGTTGTAACATTTCTCTCTTTTTTTTCAAAGATTTATTTATTTTTATTTCAAAGTCAGATATGCAGAGAGGAGGAGAGACAGAGGAAGATGTTCTGTCCCATGATTCACTCCCCAAGTGAGTGCAACGGCCAGTGCTGTGCCGATCCGAAGCCAGGAGCCAGGAGCTTCCTCCAGGTTTCCCACACAGGTGCAGGATCCCAAAGCATTGGACCATCCTTGACTGCTTTTCCAGGCCACAGGCAGGGAGCTGGATGGGAAGTGGAGCTGTTGGGATTAGAACCAGTGCCTATATGGGATACTGGCGCATTCAAGGCAAGGACTTCAGCTGCTAGGTTACTGCACCAGGCCTAAAAGTGGTAACATTTCTCTTTAGCAGTTAAATGCAATTTATCTATGAAAGTTGGAACTTCTCATACAGTAGTTAAGATTGGAAAGAACTACACAGGAAACTCCAAATCCTTGAATTTTTCTCTCCAGAGGGGAATTTCAGTCATTTCCACAGCTTTGTGTGGACAGTTTGCATTTCTGTTACCTGGAAACTCAAGCAGGAACTGATCTGTTATTGGAGATCTGCTTGCCTAACAGGAAATACCAACTCCCTTGGAACATCGGATCTTGTACTGGTGTGTCTGGAGCGCTGTGCATCAACAGCTTAATATCAAACCTAGGCTATTGTGCAAGTAGAGCACAAGCACAGCATTTTAGTATTCCGAAGTCTAATAGTATTAGACTAAGTAGACTATTAGACTATTAGAGCATTAGACTATTGACTAAGTCTAATAGTATATTTAGTATTCCCTAAGCACTGTTACTCTAACAGATCTGCATTTCAAAATCTATTCTCTGATACGTCCTGGATTGTTTTTTACAGGAATTTTAATTGTATATATTCTGTGAGTTGTTTATCTTTAAATACTGTTAAGTTGGCAGTAATTCAGCTTAATCTTTTTCAGGAGAACCAGTTGATTCAAATTCCTGATTTAGAGGAGCTGGCATTTGTGGTACAGTGGCTGAAGCCACTGCCCGAGATACTAGGCTCTCATATCTGAGCTCTGTTTTGCTGCCTGCCAGTGCACCTGGGAAGGCAGCAGACAATCACCCACGTGACTTGGGCTCCTGCTGTGTGTATGAAAGACCCGGGGTGGAAGTCCTGGCTTCATCTGGGCCCAGATCTGGGGGAGTGAACCATCAGATGGAAGGTTTCTGTCTCTACACCTCAAGTGTTTTTGTTAAATTCCTATTTCTGAGATAAATGGTACCTATTGGTTGTCTGTGTACTTTTCACACACACAAACACACCCCCCCACACACACAATATTAACCTATACTTAGTTCTTTATAATTAAAATAAAAGAACAGCTGCATTTATTTCTCCAGTCATGCTGAGGTACTTTCCTGGCTTAGAAAGCCTCCTGACCGGCTGGCCACTGAGGCCTTCCACATCATTCTCCAGGCTCCCAAAACCCCGCAGCTGGAGAGCAGAGCTGGCCCTACCCAGAGCCTCACGGCATGGGGCTTGCTCCCCAGTACTGGGCTAAGGTAACTAGATTAGGGAGCCAGTGGCATCTTCTTTCAGACATACGCAAGTGTTGAAAGTATTAAAAAAATAAATACACGAGGGCCTGGCAGCATGGCCTAGCGGCTAAAGTCCTTGCCTTGAACATGCTGGGATCCCAAATGGGTGCTTGTTCTAATCCCGGAAGCCCCACTTCCCATCCAGCTCCCTGCTTGTGGCTTGGGAGAGCAGTCGAGGACGGCCCAAAGCCTTGGGACCCTGCACCTGCATGGTTGAGACCTGGAAGACATTCCTGGCTCCTGGCTTTGGATCAGCCAGCTCCAGCTGTCGCAGTCATTTGGGGACATTTTTACTCCCAAAGTGAATCATTGGATGGAAGATCTTCCTCTCTGTCTCTCCTCCTTTCTGTATATCTGACTTTGCAATAAAAATAAATCTAAAAAAAAAAAGATAAGTACACAAAAAACTCTCTGGTTCACCACCATAGCACAGATGAATGTGGGAGAGCCAACTGAGGCCTTGGCGGGGCTGTAAGAAGATCCGGGTAACCACTCCAGTGAAGGAGTGAGGATGCAGCGAGAAAGGAAGAGTCCTAGAGCACTGAGCTGTGCCCAGGTGGGATGACTGCCACCCCCAGGTGTGTCCAGATGCGGATGGATGGCATCGGTCAGTGAGACAGCCTGCTGATGAAGAGGATGAGGATGGTGTGCTCGCACCGGCCGCACATATACTAAAACTGGAACGATACAGAAAGGACGATGAGCCTGTATGAGTTGAATGCTTCAGAGAAAATGGGAATCAAAACCATGTTCTCTTAACAGGGCTGTCAAGCAGAGCCCCACAATCCGAGCAGCAGATCACTCCCTTGCTGATGCTTGGCTAGAGGAAGCCAGAGTGCCTTCTTTAGGATTTGATGGTGAGGACCCCGGCCATCAGGCGGTGAATGGTGAGAGCAGCACCATCAGATCTGGCCAGGTGGTACCATGGTAGCCAGAAACGGGTTCCAGACTCTAGTGGGTGTGAAGGGTAAATTCATTGTGTGGCAAGTGTACTCCAGAGTAGAAGAGATGAACGTGGAAATGCAGTGGATCCATAACCTTGCTGCTTGGACTTAGCATATAGACTTACACACTAAGGAAGTCCATAAAATATATAGATAATAAGTGAGTAACTGAATTTTTACACTTAAGCATATCATGTAACTGTCAATCTACAAAACGTTGCCAACACGTTAGAAATTTCCTTCATCCTCCTGTTCCTCACAGAGCCAATCACTGTTGTGGTTTCTGTTGTCATAGATGAGCTGTTCTTGTTCTCAAATTTCATGAAAATCGAATCGTGTAGTATTTATTCACTCCTTCTTCTGGTTGCTTTTGTTCCATGTAAGATTTTTGCGAGTTATCCATGTGGATCATTGAATGATCTTTGAACATGTGACTATTGAACTCCTCTCCTATTTGTCAATTTTCTAAGAATGTGAATGATATGAATATTTGAATGTTTTCTCTATAGATTTAAGGTTATTCTTATTTATTTGAAAAAATAAAGAGCAGGCACTGGTGATAGCCAAAGCCAGGAGCCCAAAGCTCCATCCACGTCTCTACCATCGGTAGCAGGGACCTAAGTACTTTCCCAGGTGCACTAGCAGGCAGCTGCATCATAAGCCCAGCACCCACGACTCAAAACAGGTGCTCCGCTTTGGAGTGCCAGCATCACGGATTGTGGGCCATCCCACTGTGCCTTTCAAGGATGCCTTTTTGTAACATAGCATTTTATTTCTCTTGGATAAATACCTAAAAGTAAGATAATGGGTAATTTAGAATAGACATGTTTAGTTTTCTGAATTTTCTAAAGCAATGTTTGAGAGTTCCAATGTGTACCAACAGCTGGATGTGTCAACCTGCTTGTCATTGGTGGTTTGAGAGTAGCTCGAGCATGATTGAGACCTGGAAGCTGTAAGTAAACTCTGGAAGTACTTCCGGAGCTGACCCGTGCGTGCC